GAATGCTAAGAGCAATATAGATGAGGCAGGACCTCGTTGTTCCTCTGGAACTCCGCGAGCATCGCATACCAGATGCTAGTGAATGTCCAATAACCGTGAGAATGTGGTTTAGGTCGTCCTCAGATAAAGGTACGGCGAGTCCGGTGTGGTCAGTTCTCAAACGACTCTGTACCGAACGCCACAAATGTAAATGATTGCATGCTAAACAATGTGGCCTCAACGGGGAAGGACGAGGCGTCAATGCAGTGTGATAAGGACGCGGACTGGTAGTGTTCAGGGAGGAGGGGAGAGTCAAAGCTGGCAACTGGAAATGTGATATCCTAGTCCCTCCAATGATCTCAGAATCACCACAAGTCATCTCCAAATGCCCACTCCTCTGACCCGTTAACCAGCTCGTTAGAAGCTGTGTCCCTTCGTGTGACTGGCTGCGTGGGAGGTGTTGGATGACTGGAGACAGATGAGATGGCATCGACGATGAAAGGACTGAACTCAGTTGGGAGGTCAAAGCTCAGGAGTAGGAGTTTGCATGGGGGGTATTGTCCGTGGGAAGGACCATTGGCTGGATTCTCTCTACTGGGGATGTAAGAGAGATGAAAGGACGTGGTAGATCCAAGACATTCAAGTACGGAGAGAACTCGCCTAAATACACAGTTTGTTGCCCAGTTTCTGCTTCACCTATTTTTCCAGCCTTTGACAACCCCAAGATTGTCGCAGTGCAACCGAAAGTGCCCTCTGCCAGATGGTAGCCCAAGGCGGAGCATTGCAAGGACCAGCAACTCAAAGCCGACGGCTTTGGCCCACCCAATATCTTTGGCCCCATTGAGGGTGCGCCATCCGGGCAATAATTTCCAGGTGCGCCCAAAACCCATGGATAACAATTGCAATTCCGACGCCAGAACTGGCGTTGGAATAGGCATGGGCGTCGATGATGTGGAAGGGTTGGGGAATGGGGTGTTCCAGGCAAGACTTCGAAAGTTGGTTTTGCCACCAGATGAGGTCATCGGTGAGATGTCGGACTGAATGGTATGACACGAAAGGACGAGCAGTGGTGATACCAAGCATGGCTTCCAGAGAGGTGAGATAGGCTCGTCCAGTGGGAATAACGAGACAGGCATGCAATAGTTTACCATAAAGTTCTTGGACTTGGAGCAGCACATGAGTCTCGTGTGACAACCAATCTGTGATGGCCGCCAAATATTTCTTTTTCTTCAACTCCCCCAATCTGACGGTGAGACGAATGAGATTCCAGAGAAGGCCGATGAACAGCACTTCGAATGCAAATTGGGTGTCTTTGGAATGTTCCCAGGGGGTCCCCAGGGGAACAGACGCATTGTCAATGTCTTGGAAGTTCAATGTAAAGAGATTGTCTTCGTCTGAGCAAATGGAAGAGTGTGAAAGATCGAGGATTGGAAAACGACAGTCCTCAGCAAACACTTCAATGCTTCCGTCTTCGAGTGTGACCCCTTCAAACCATAAACGACCGCCTGTTTAACAAAGGCGATCACCAGATAATTCAGTATGTAATGCGTTACGGTAACTATTATATGCAATAAGGTGTGCGCATGCAATACGGAAAAATAGATGATCATCAACCCATTTGACAAGAGGTCCCAAGCCTGCAGCTCGCAGTAGGTCTGCCCCGGCGTCTGCAACATATCCATAAGCCCCCGCTGACGGGCCCATTCCGAAAGAGGTGCAAGTGTCAACGCAAAAGGCATCGTTATCCACGCACACCACAGTAGCTAGCCATTGAGAAGGAAGCAAGGGCACAGTCCGGTATGCTTCTGCAACATGCCGAGTGGCGCCTTGCGACCCAGGAGGAAGATTACGAATGATGCAGCAAACCGTATCAAAGGTGCCCCATGTGCGAGGAAAGTCATCAGAATCCACGGTTGAATTAATCGATGGTGAAGGGTGGCGAGGAGAAGGCGACAAAGGAAAAGAAAAGTTCTGAATGACTCTAAACTTTCCTGGTTTACCCGTTTTTGGAATGATCGATACTGGAGAAGTTTGAAAGTTGCCAATGAGAGATTGTAGGTGTGAATAAGTGAATGGGCCAATGTAACGTCCTGTACTGAGCTCGCGCTGAAGAATGCGTTCAAAGGCGTCACAGTATATGGAGAGAGAGGAGTGGTTTGGGGGAACTTGCGAGACCAAAATAAGTGGGAGATGAAGATCAAAGCCTTTCCGAAAACCGTCCGGAATCTTATGATAACAGTCCATGAGCCCATGACGATGAAGCAGATCTTCCCAAAGTGATCCCTTATAAGGGCAAATTGGTTGTGTTTGCCTGAGTTCGAGGGCAGTACTGAGCGCCATGTGAGGCAGAAAGGCAACCTGAACAGAGGTGTCATTCATCGTGGGAACAATTGGTGCAACCACATCCCCGTTGCCAGTTGACGCAAAGGGGTTTGTCTGAGGATCGTACCAGGAGCTGTTTGTTGACCCGTTTGCTGACGGTGGCATGGACGTTGTCCCAGAGATGTTCGGCAGAACATTCGATGAATAAGTGTTGGTTTCTCCCAAGGCAAACAGCGCACACTGCAGGAGAACGCTGGCCGTGTGTGCCATTGGAAAAACCTGAGGATGAAACATTAGATTTTGGAGTACGAGGAGTTTTGTTGCGTCCCAATGGGGACGCAGAGTGTTTGTGATCCGCAAGGGAGTAGCGCTGGTCAGCGGCAGGATGAGCTGGCAAACGTCGACCTTTCCTTCCCCAATTAGAATTGACATCATCAACATGCGCGGTGTAGAGACTCGCGTTTCTGCAGGCACATATGGGCACATTTTGCACCTTTTCACAACTCATGACAATTGGCCTTCAATGCACGACTCACACCATCAGCTATATTCGACTTCTATCATGTCCCTAGTCATTTTACACATAATGCGCAGCTTTCCCGCAAAACGCGCCATAGGCATGGTACTTTCCCGCACAACGTGCAGCATTCCCACATGCGCACCTTGCGCACTTTCTCGCGCTTAAGCGCCCTGCAAGCGCCCTGCATCGCCTATCATCCAGGAACGTCCCTCTATGTCCACCCACCTCATTGGTACGTCATATCCCTTGCCTCGTGGTTTGTAACAAGCATTGCAGCGCTATTACATGTCATTACGTATTCATAGCGCTTATTGCTCCTATCCCTTCCACTTCCGATGCGATTTCCATAGTATAAAGTTTGCTGACTTACTACTCCATCATTATTACTCCCCTTTGCTGTACTTCCCTCGCTATTGGGTTTTACTTTAAAGTAGTAGTCACCACTTGGGTGCACTTTGTGTTTCCAATGGTTATCGTTATCCGCCTATACTAGACCTTTATCCGCGCTCGTTATAACACTCGCTCTGTGTTTGCACTTGCTTTGCACATCCGCTTCCTTATCCGTTTCCTTATCCGGTATTTTCTGCACAACGCACGCCTTAGCGCTCACGTTCCCACGCTCGCGCTTACCTTAGTGCGCTCTCTCGCGCTTCACGCTCACTTCGCTTTTCTTCTTGCGCTTTCGCGCATCCATTGCACTTCAAGGGTCTTTCTTTCATCTGGTTCTGTGTTCAGTAGCAGTCCCCTTTAGGGTTGAACGTTCTTGCATTCTGCGAGTATAGCAGCTAGGCAGAGCCAAGACTCACTTATACTGGTTGAGCATTTTTAGATATTTCATATCAGCCCAGCCAGGTTGAGATCGCCTCAGCGGAGGTGTGTAAAGCTTGTAAACGCTGCAGGATCGAAAACAAAGAAAACCAGACGCAGAACCCACAACCCCAAAACACATGTTACATATCGCATATCGCAGATCACAGATCACAGATTGCAGGTCACATATCACATATAGTGTAACGCATATCGCATATTGTGTATCGCATAGGGAAAGTCAAGTTCAAACCCAGATGGATATGAAGAGAAAAAGAAAAACGCATTGATTAGTGATGGTTGTGCCACAGGAGAGGTAGAGGGCTGACCTTTGTATCGTACTCCCTATCTGCCTGTGTACGCTCGGCGTGATATATGTGATCAAAGGTATGAGAAATCTCAGCCTCATCAAGGATAGCGATATTCCAGGCCCCTTCCGGTTGCGTAAGTGCCTGATGCCAAGCTCAGTGTTGTTCTTCTTGGTAAGTTAAGAGCGCAGGGAGTTCATATGGTTCATCTGAAGTCCAATAGGTGTGTAACATTAAGGCGCCGAAGAAACTGGCTAGCATGCGAACGCGGGAGGCAGTCCAACCACATTGTTCAAGGGAATCAATGAAACGAGGGATGGCCCTAGAGAAATCTAAGGGAGCCAGGAGGTGGTCTGGGATGACCCCAGTAGCAGGACGAGCCGCGCTGGCAACAGTCCAAGTAGTGGCACCCTCAGGACCGACGGTGGGTACCATACTGTCGTCATCCATGGTCCGAGAATTGAGCCTCGCATCAGTGAGACCATGGTTAGTCCAGTAGTATAATTCGATGTATTGTGCCTTATCAAGTTTTCGAAGAGCGAAATCAGGAATCAGAACAGATTCAGCGGCTCGATTTGGACAAGGTCGATTCGGAATAGGAATATGATGAACTCTGTTCTTCTTCCGATCTTCTTCGGCAGTGACAACATCTTGCGCCTTTTGTATGGCGAGTTGCTGTGCTTCTTCTTCCACTAGGATACGTTGTTGTTCCTCAGCCTCTAACACGTCAGCGTCGAGTTGTTGTTGCCATTGAGCTTTCAGGGTAGCATTGGTAGCGACCCAGATGGTTTGTAACATGACCACCGCTTGGGCGTCATCGATTACAGGACTTAAGAGAGGGGCGCGGCTAGCCTGAAGACCCGCTGAGGTGAAATCCGGACACTGTTCTATGTTAGGATCAGTTTGAAGTCTGTTCATTGTAAAGGTAGAAATGAATATAAGACTGTTTTCAGTCAGGATAGTGATAGCTTGAGGATTGACAACAAGACGAAAGATTGATAGACGAGCGCTTACGCCAGGCTAGTGGTAGCGAGAGAGAGAAAACGATTCCTGAACCTTACTCCGTCCCTACATAGACATCATTCTACGCACGTGTTCGTGCCTTACACTTACGTAGAATACAACTTATGCAAACGACTGTATGACAGTCTGTATCGTTTAATTACATCCTGACAACTTATAAGAATTGACCACGTACGCCTAATTTTGTTCATCAATGACACCACGATTCAAATATTCACGCTCCAGTGGCATGAGGACGCGTGTTTTCTCACGTGACTATGACCCTGAATGTGACAGCGGCCCATCTAACCGTTCTCACTCAAGTTGGACTCGTCCCGACAAGATGGCCCTATCGCATTATGATTTGCAATCATCGACGTCGCTATAGTATGATGTGACAGTCAGGGGATATTTTTCAACGTTGCCCAATGTCTGGAAGGTTACCTGCACATATGATGCTCACTGGCAATACAGCTTTTAAGGTGCAATCTTTGCAACCCTCTCAATCCGAAGGGGTACTATCTATCTCTGATACCCTGGTGGGTATAGGTGGGGCTACCTGAGGGTGATACACCGGGGTTCATGGCTATTCACTATGTGCCACGTCCAAAGACTTATAAAGCAAACTAACATGTCTTGGTGCCTATAATCCCTCCCATGCTCTTCACTCATATTCTTGCTTTAGGGATACCGTGCATTATTGCCCTGGTTGTCGCTTCGGGTCTGCGTCGCAGACGTGTCTACCCTTTACCTCTGCCACCTGGCCCTCGTCCGTTACCAATTTTGGGTAACGCGTTGCGATTGAATACCAAACGACCTTGGCTCACATACACTGAGTGGGGAAAGACATATGGTTGGTAGCAGACCAATGGCCTCTTTGCTAAGCTCTTAGATTCAATTTCATACCTAATCATAGGAAAAATCATTCACTCCCGTATACTCGGGCTCGACTTTATCATCATAAACTCTGAAACCATCGCGCGAGAGTTACTGGACAAGCGTTCTGCGAATTACTCTACTCGCCCCGTTATTCGCACCAACGAATTGTATGCATTGCCGGTTGTCATTCAATTTGTTCTTCATCCGCTGACAATGCAGAGCTGGACTGGCTTTCAATACTGTGCTCCTTCCATATGGCGAGACTTTACGGCGACATCGCAAGATCTTCCATCAAGTTCTAAGGGCCGAAGTCTCGGTCTCGTACCACAAGATGTATTCTAACCACGCAAACAATCTAGTCATCAATCTCTTGGATGCCACTAGTGACCTGCGGCAACAGACTGAAGCGTTTGTATCTCATTAAGTGGTGTCGTTGTGATGTATGGTCCGGTTGACAATCAATCCTTGTGACAGATATTCGGCATCCCTAATCATGGCCGTGACATACGGACACCTTGCTCATGGACATGAAGACCCATTTCTTGCCCTCGCACGCGAAGTCCTTCATATTGGCGAAAATATTGTTTCTCCCGACAGGGCTGCCCTGTTCACAGCCTTTCCTTTCCGTGAGTGCCTCTGTCGACAACATAATTTTGAACATTCAACGTGAGGTTGCAGTCGAAAAGTTGCCGTTGTGGTGCTTCGGTGGAGCATTTGCCCTGATGGGACGCTGTAGAGAATTAACTCAACAGCTTTTGAACGAACCCTTTGACAAAGTGAAGGCACAGATAGTATGTTTGCGCAGAGTTGTAGATGGAAATTTCCCCTGATCTGTTTGTGTGAAGGCGGATGGTACTGCTTCACACTCATTAGTCGCTGACTTCCTCAGTCAAGCTCACGACGACGCTGACGAAGACACGATGAAGTCAGTTGCGGCCACGGGGTACATGAGTAAGATTTTTTCTACCAAGACAAAATTCATCCGTTGACGCGAATGCGGCATCTTAGCTGGCATGGAGACTGTGAGTCGCTACTTGAGTGGTCCTGATTCCTACATTGATGTCCCGCAGACTGCGTCCTCATTGCAAAAATTCCTGCTGGCTATGGTGCTCTATCCTGACGTCCAAGCCCGGGCTCGTGCAGAAATTGATCAAGTTGTGAGACATGATAAAATGCCGTGCCTCGATGATAGGGCGTCACTGCCCTACCTTGATGCCATTCTTTGCGAGGTCCTGAGATGGTATCCTCTCGTCCCCCTAGGTCAGTCTGCACAAATACAACCCTGAATGATTGACCCCTGGCACAGGAATTCCACATGCGACATCAAATGATGATGTTTATGGCGGGTACTTTATACCCAAAGGTTCGAAGTCTTTGATTCGGGGTTGCCGTTGACTCATCTGTAGTTCGATCAGGTGCGATAGTAATAGTTAATCAGTGGTATGTCACGGTGGAGTCCATGTAGCGGCGGCTTGAGCTGAGCATGGTTCAGGGCACTGTCTCAGGATGAAGACATGTTTCCCGATGCATCACGCTTCGATCCTAGTCGCCATCTAACGGTTGACGGGAAGCTGAAGGATCCTTTCGTCAACCATTTTGCCTTTGGTCGTGGCAGGTAAATATTCCACACACAAAATCATTTTCAATTATTCACTGACCCTTGCAGGCGTATTTGTCCTGGTAGGCTGATTCATGGCTCATCTGGCAGTGTTGAGGATGACAAATCCCTTTGGCAGGTCGTTGGTTTGCAGAGAACAGTCTGTGGACCGCAGCTTCTGCCATACTCGCCGTTTTGCGCATCGATCATGCCAAAGACTCAAACGGGGATAGTATTGAGGTGAAGCCGCTGTTCGGCACCGGCCTGATGATGTAAGTTACCTAGTGTGTATTCAAAACCTGCAGCTGACTCTGTGGCAGGCATCCTGAACCATTTCACTGTTCGTTTGAAAGCGTGAATACAGCGAGAGAGGGACACCTTCGAGCGATGATGAATTCGAAGTAGGCCTCGTTTGTACTTGTGGTGGTCTGTCATGTAATAGCACACGAATGTATACTACAACGGTGCAGAGTGCACTGGATGGCAAGGTTTTGCGGCCTCTGTCTGTCTCTCATGAACAAGAGAATTGCTTTCGAGTCCATTGACTCTTCAGAAATCAGATCCGTTTCCAAAATCTCGTGACCCGGCGCAACCAGGCTCCTGGCTGGACACCGTTGATCGGTTCACTGGCGCTTCCCCGTTGCAAGATGAATATAGGTTGATAATAATCCATGCACTCGTACTACGACTTACATAGATTGAGGTCAATAGCCATCGAAGGACGTTGGATCACCTAACTGTAGGTGCTATAGAAAGCCCCATAGTACGATTAGACGCAAGATGTGGTCCCCGATAATCCAAAGATAGACAGGTTCAGATGTATGACCTGAAATATCGTTCAATTATTCAGTGTGCTATGTGGGCAGCCAGTGTGGGCCATATCATAAGAATGACCATGGCAGCTAAAACCGGATATGCGATAACGTTAAAAGGGGCGGGAAATCACAATAAACAATGCCGCAACAAAGAATGATTTTGTTGAAGAATGAGCCATTATCCTACAGTATTTCACCAGAAACGCACTACCAAATCAGAAATACAAAAGGCAGACTGAGCATCAGAGCAAGGCGCGCGATAGAACTTTTGATTCTAAACAACGACCCTGGCGGACGCAAAGAATAAAATTTAAGTGGAGACAAACTTGCCATGCATTCAACAGGGTATCGCCGGTCATCATTAACCTGTGACTAGTATGACCAACAATGATTCGATGGTACATTAGTGGTTCTCAAAGTTGATTTCATAGAATCTGGAAACGTCAAAAGTTTGCGAGTTGCCGGTTGTATTTGAAGCTCCGACGCTGACAAATAAACCCTAAGCTTTGTACCATCTGCTATAGCATTCTGCAGCTCCATCACTGATATGCCCCGTGAATCAGATCGAAAGATGCTGCTTCGCAGCCTCAAACAAACCAGAAATGACCTTTCCGTCGCGCGATACATGGAACTAATTGAATTTATGATAGATCAAATACTGGATGAAGACTCAGACTCTGATACAGAGCTTGATGATGCTGCCAGTGGCCGTAGCGACTCGGATATCAGTATACGGACTGCATCACCAACATGGCCGGAGTCGCCTACATCGTCAATCACATCTGCCTCATCAATCAACTCTCTGGTATCGCTCTCGACAGCATACTCCGACTTCTTATCGCATGATATCCCGGACATGTGTGAACGGGTCTTTACCCAGTTCATTGACGCAATCGGTGCGCTGCATGATGAGGTGGAGAAGTGTTCGAGTGCTGAATGTGCATCCACGTCTGAATCGCGCACCTCAGCTTCACTTGCTGGAGGAGTGGGCTCTGTTCTCAGCTGATAAATTTCGCCGCAAGCTTTGTGTTGAGGCAGACGTGTTCGATGGACTCACAAAGTTAATTCAAGAACACCCCATCTTCTATAACCGCTCAAATAACCCCCAACTCCCTGTTGCGGTCCAGCTCGCCATTTTTCTAAACGGTGTCGGCCATTATGGCAATGCCACGGACTACTGAAGATATATCCGACTGGGCTGGAGTATCCTTGGGGACCGTTTATAACTGCTACAAACGGGTTATGATTGTGATCTTGCAGCTTCATGACCAGGCGATTCATTTCGATCCGCTTGATCACGAGGATCAAATGGAGCGAGAGCGGGCGAAAGCTTACGTGGAAAGCAAGACATGTTGTGAATGGCGTGGAGGTTTTCTTTGTGTAGATGGGACTCCGTCCCCTCTACACGAGAAACCTGGTTGGCATGGTGAAGGGTTCTTCGACAAGAATTCGGACTACTCTCTAACAGCCCAGGTAAGTATCGGTTCGGTGTGCAACACAGTGACTTACAGTTTAAAAGGTTGTTATATTCCCTCATAACCTTCGTATCATGGACTATGTCATTGGCGTACCTGGGAGTCTCCATGACTCAAACATATTCGCACGAACGAGAGTTTCCTGGCATCCTGAGTCGTTTTTTGGTGCAGGAGAGTGGTTGTGGGCGGACTCGGCATATGCTGCACGAACCTGGTGTGTGCCACCATATAAACGGCCACCGGGAGGGAGTTTGACGGAGGACCAAAAGACGTTCAATCACAACCTGTCAACGGTGAGTATGGATCACAATACATGTTCATAGTGCTTACCAAGTGTCTAGGTCCGTGTTCGTTCAGAGCATTTTTTTGGCTCTATCAAGGGCCGGTTCCAATCACTGCGGGAGCTTCGCATCCCAATCCAAAATCAGAAGGACCTCGACTACGCAAACATGTGGATCCGTTCGTGCCTCATTCTGCACAATTTAATTATTGAAATTGAGGAAAAATTAAACCATGGGGACTCGAATGTCCGCTTCTACCAACAACCTCAGGAGGCCAAGGCAAACTGATGGCGATGTGGGAGAGGAGGATCAACAAGAGGGTGGTGCAATAGGTGATCAGACTTACATTGGAAGTGTGGGGCAGGATTTTCGCAACACGTTGAAGACACGGTTGCTTTCCTCGTTGGCGTAATTAGAATGTACATATCTTGAGTCCAGTGATATGGTTTGTTTCGATCTTGGGTTTCTTTGCTACTCTCTTTGTCAAGTAGAAGCTCTTCGTCCTCTTTAGTACCCAACGAGGGAAATTTGCGCTAAGTTCAGCGTCAAGTAGAAGCTCTTCATCCTCTTTAGTACCCAACGAGGGAAATTTGCAGAGAAAGAACCATTTGCATTGCTTAACAATCAGTTGTATGACATAGTACAAACCTAGTACTTCAGTTTTGATCAAGACCACACTCCATAGTAATACGACGAATCCGGGCCTCCTCCTCTTCTCGACGTGCACGAGATAGCTCAAGTTCGATTCTTGCAAACTCCATTTGCTGAACTATCCTCTCCCGTTGGTGGAGGTGGTCTTGTTCAGCAAGACACATTGCATGCTCCCGCTCATCACGAGCACTGCGGGCCTTGAGATCACGAGCCCAGACTTCGCTCTCGAGTTTCATACGCTTATAGCGTTCATGCTCGACACGACCCTCGCGTTTGCCATTGAGGTGTACCATTAAAGACTCTGCCGTTTGGGACATCCTTTCTGCGGTCTGGTCAAGAGCATTGGTGCCAGGGCGTTTGCGTGATGAAGAGGGAGGACGGCTAAGCTGAGATGATGTGCTTTGAGAAGATGGACAAGACTGCTTTGCAGCGAGAGAAGGTGAGCTTTCGCGACTTCCCTTAAGTGAGCTGACACGGAGAGACCGTAGTGCTCGGCTGGCACCAATGTCCTGAGTCTTCTGAGTCAATAGGTGTAGACTGACAGGCTCGGTGAAGACTCCTTGAAATCCGAAAAAAAAGACAGTGAATTATCAACGGCGTTTTTATTGGATGCTGGTGAGCGCTCAGGAGAGTTCAATGATACTACTCCTGGGCCAAGCGCATCAGAAGTTGAGATGGGAGGGAGCTGTGGTCGTTGGTACCATGATGGTAATGGAATTAGCGAGAATGAATCAGGTGTGTTGCTAGGACCACAGTCCGAAGTTAAAAGTGGTGATGATTCGACTGATTCCACGCGGGGGGGGCTGGTCAACCACCATATCATCTGTCACATCTACAACACCACCATCATCCGTAGTGCGAGGATTGATCTCAACTATTTCTCCGTCTTCAGGGTCTGTGTGAGTGTCGTCGTCACCTGTAGCCGGTTTTAGTTGCATCGATTGAATATCAAAGTGTTCCAATGCGGCAGATGCAAAGTCCTGCCCTACATCCACAGTAGAGAAGGCATAGTTGAAGGCTGGGTTGGTCCGCCACCAGCCATGAAGCTCAGGCCACCAGGGAAATTTTTCGAGCTTTGTATCTGATGGAAACACGGTTAAGACATGTGCAGATCAACACAGCTAAAACGGACCGATCAACGACTTCATCTTTGGATCCTCTTGGAGCTCTGCATACGTCTTTCCTGCTCCTGACTGCTTGAGGTCCTTGTTGAACTCGTTGTATTTTCTTCGAAGTCTGAAACATCTTATCAGTGATTCCAGTGGGAAGATGAATGACGCAGGAACTAGATACTTACGTGCCGAAACGAGTTGAAACTGGTTTGATAAAGGCCTTAGGGTCCTCTTTGAAGAGTCGTTGAACCTCCAGATCCTCATCATTCGAAAATACTGCGTGTGCGACCTGTGAATAGACAACATCTCTCGAACTACCACTCTGCTTCTTCTTCCGACCTTGCTCCTTGGCATCCTTTGCCGAATCAGAGAAAAGCTTGATTCGTGCATTGTCATTTTCCTTGCACCAGGCAAGTAGCCGTTCAGTACGAGCACCACGGACCCCCTCCCAGTGAATGGTACACTTCTTCCCAGTGTCCGTACTGGCAGGTGCGTTGGCCCGGACACCTCCACCCCGGCCTCTCTGATTTGAGCGTGACATGATCTAGGGTGTGCTTAATGACAGTGATTAGATATTGGATTAAGGCTTTAGCAGCGTCAACGCCGGTAACGACGATGTTGAGCACACTGGCTGGCAGGGCAGGTCGGAGTTCGAAACCTGCCGTACCGGCAGCATCCGAATTCGCAAAATTTCTCTGTGAATTTCTTAGAAGGTTCGACTTTGAGAACCGTTAATATTAATATCCCGAGAAGAACCTTGCCATGAATATCAGGGGATCCGGACTTGAGAAAGTTCATGATTCCAGAAAGGATATTTATGAGCGCGTGTTGGAATGCCGCGCATACACCGTGCCGTCTGTGCTAGGTTGCCCACAGAAATTTAGAAGTTGCCGATGCATAGCAGCACCGATGAATCATGATCATGCATATGAGCAAACTACAAATTTGGTTACAGAAACAACACGTCAATACAGAGCCTTAATTAGGACAAACTTAGTAACAGACAGCATGAGATTTAAGTTCTACAGAACCAGGCTCTTCCCACTAAAGTGGGTGTCGGGGAATTGGAAGTTCCTTCAGCCTCCCTTGCAATTGGACTTGGTCGATGTCTGTATGAAATTCGGACAGACACTCAGTGGCAACTAACATATCACTGGCTATTGCTGGCTTGCAGGGAGATGAAGACAAGTTACTACGCCTACTATACAGGTCATAGGACCACCTTTCAAAACATGTTAAACACTCTTCGCCTGATTCAAGTGCGTCCACTGCTAGACGTTCTGAGAAGGTCGGTTCAGAATCTTGATGGATATCTAGATCACCGAAAATCTCATTTGCGGTCCGTATTCTGTTTTGCAGATACTGACATAAAGGCCACTGGCAGAGTCCTCCTGCGTCAGGCACGAGGACGACATCACTCGTGTCCCTCGGTCGAGATACTACCCCCAGATTCGGGTATGTGTAGTACTAGGAGAGGTGAGTGCGATAAAAATGAGTTGATTATTTGTACCTCGAACAAGTCCGTAGCACCTTTCAACCGCTAGTCTCGTTAACTACCCCACATGCACCTGCAAGTTCCGCTTTTGGTGCCGAGCTTGAAACGGAACGTAGACCGAAACGGATTGGGTCAGTACTGAGCCTGGCTTGGCCTTGTACATCTACTCGTGTATACAGAGATCCTCAGGGGTCCGCCTCAACCTGTCATAGCCAAGTCGTCACAGCAGATTTGAAATCCGTTATCTTAGAGGGCGCTGCTACCTGTCCATGACAATACTAGTCCCTCGCGAGGATAATCTCAGAAACATTTATCCCGACTCAAGATATACGTGTCACCCTAGTCGAGGATTGGTGCTGTCCACCGCTATGATATGGTAATGTATGTTTTCTAATGGCCGCCCATGCTTATACTCTTGTCTGACGTACGGCGCCAAGATTCCCATGGTCTCGCTGTCATTTTACAAATGAAATAGCCCATCATGGTCATCGTTCTCCAACTGCGCGGTGCTGGCCATATATGTACAACCATGGTGAGGGCTGGCGAGTGCTCACTAGGCAAAGCTAATCTTCCGGTATTAACCCCATCTGTGCAACAATGCGCACGGATGCTTGCGCCGGTGAAGAGAAGCATGAGCCATCAGTCTACCCAAGACTCCAGAAGACATGTCTTCAAGATCGCATCCAGTCCAAACACCATAACACGCTCAAGGGAAGTAGGATCCTGGCTCACTACAGAAGATCATTGCAACCTGGTCGATAATTGAAATTCGTCGCTGGGAATGTTTTATCACACGCAGTACACCTGGAGGTATTTAAGGTGACTCAACACAGGTTCCAAAGACACTTCAGCGGTGCATCATGAGTCTATTAAAGATCCCCTTCGTCATAGCTCCGGCTATTGGCGTTCATATTTCGTTCAGTTCTTCTTCTCCACCGCCTTCACCCGAAGAGAAGAAGGTGGAGCCCCCCATGCTCGAAATCATCATCATACGGTTTCAGAGTCTTTGGGGTAATAATACAAAGAAGGTGTGTGGCCTCGAAGCATTGGTCATTGTTTATATGGATCGGTGGACGGTATAATAGATCTGCACATGGGCAGCATCGTCTGCTGAAGTTGCCAACATCCTTGCCATGCATATAGATCCCTCGCAGATTCCAGAGGGCATCTATGGCACCAGAGCTCTGCAGTTTTTGCGCGCTGTTCGCCCCACGCCAATCACTCCCGCTTTCCTTGCCGGCAGTCTTGCTGTCACGATTGGCGGCGTGCTCAGGCTTTATTGTGTGTCGACCTTGGGGAAATATTGGAGCTGGCCACTCAGTATCAGACGAGATCACAGACTTGTGACGAGCGGGCCATATTCTCTCGTTCGGCACCCTAGCTATACCGGTTTCCTTCTCCAATATATTGGGCTCATTGTCATGTATGGAGAGAAAGGATCGTGGTTGAGGCGGTCTGGGATTTTACAAGTACCTTTAGTAAAGGTGCTAGTAGCATTCGGCTTCATCGGGTTTACAGTATGTGCTTGGATGGCTATCAGCCGACCCCCAGTGGAGGACAAGATGCTCCAGCGTGCACTGGGAAAAGACTGGGATAATTGGGCGAAGAGGGTGAAGTACCGATTGCTCCCTGGGGTTTATTGATCATATGCATACTGAACGCTCCGCTTGTTTGTTTGTTTGCTATACGAGATTGGTGTTCTATGGTGTCCTGGGTCTGTTGTACATATGATATAAACCATAAAAAAAGGATCCGCATGCATGGCAAGGATGCTGGCCACTTCAGATGATCTATTATATTGTCGGATCAGATAACAACCAATATCTGTATGAGAGCAACACACCTTATTTATATCTACACTCCGAAGTCTCAGAAACCATGTCATGAAAGATTCGAACACGTTAAGCGCCATCTTGTTTTCAGCTGACGGGGGCGGAGCAGAAGAAGTGAGCGAAACATGGGCGCCAAAGACCGAAGCTACGACAAAGGGGATCTTCAATAGACTCGTGGCACACCACTAAACTATCTATGGAGCCTGCAATGTGTCGCCTTAAATGCCTGAACATCGACACCTCTAGGCGTCACAGAACTCCCATGTAATAATTTTGAAGCATCAGATGCGAAGTACGCTCAGTCAGCCTGGAAGGAACAAAGAATGCGTGTTGCCTGTTTAGGTTACTTCAGGATATCATCCTAGGGACGTGTCCTCTGCGAGCGTCAGTGCCCGTGATGTAGCAAATATAAAGATATATATGTACTTACCATCGGAGCACTGGCGTTGCCTCATGAGCACCTCGCCATGAAGTGCATAGCCAGAGTGGTGCGTCACCGAGAATGGCTTCTCAGAACTCACGATTGAGTGATTCCATATATAAATCTCTTTGAAGATGTTCGATTGGCGTACGCAAAATCCGACCTAGAGAACTTATGAGAAGAACAAGATAGCACTGCCAGAACATAACGGAAAGGCAGGGAAATGCCTGCGGACGTGGTGCTGTACACCGCGTACATACAGAGCGTAGAGTTTGTCTAACATGGGCCACACCCCAACAGATCATGAATGGTACAAACAAAAGCTTGCGCAGAGCCTGAGAATCGGTGAAACACGCACGGCTATTTACCAAGCTCATAACGAAGATGTGGCAGTTCGGAAATTAAAAGTCGGAGAGTATAAAGGTGAAATTGAAGCCTGAAGTTTGCAGAGGGCCGAGCATGTGCGCACATCAAGTTAGCAACAGATCACAGGGTGCTATGCTGCGGTGACCATCGTGCAAGTAAAAGCAGAACATAGGACGCTCCCACAAGCACAGAATATCCCCCATAATTCACGTCACGGTTGGGGTGGCATGAGGGGAAGATATACCTGTGAATCAAATCAACAACCAATAACCTGAAAGTGCTGCCACATCAATCATCATGTAAAGCTCGCACTCAATAAGACGTTTGACACGTAACCCCGTACATACAAGTACACAGGCAAATGGCACTGCCGACATAAATCGACTCCCAAAGCCTCGCTACCGATCCGCCAAGTCACTGCACAAAAACACCAAATCAGAAATGCAACCCCAAACCACCCAATCTATGTCACATACCGTCTACTATTCTGGACACGCAAGAACAACCAATCCACAGCCTCGCGAACACCAGCTCTGAAAGGTCAATCCCGTGAGCCAAACCCACACACGCGCAAAACGCGCTCACCCGTCAAGCGCCGAAACGCCCAAAACATCTAAACTAGCAATCCTCTCCCGCTTCCTCTCCATTTCTGCATCCTCATCCTCGCCAAACCTCCTCCTCGCGCTCTCCCTCCTCCTCTGATCCCAATCTTCATAATCCTGCCTTATCTCTGAAACGCTGAGGCTTGAAGGGGAATCTTGTTTGTTTGCGAGGAGTAGGAGGGGGATGTTGAGCGTTTGAGGGGAGGAGAGGACTGTGTCTGTGGGAGTTGGGAGTGAGGGGTTTGTTTTGGGTTTGTCGTTTTATGATGGTTGAGGGAGTGGTGAAGGTCGCGTACGTACCGAAGACTTCCCAGCCCTCACTAAGCCTCTCTCGGTCTTGCGCGTCGATAACGTACGCTACGGCGTGACAGTCGTCGTAGTATCTGTACCAGATGGACCGGATGCCGCGTTGTCCTCCGAGGTCGAAGAAGTTTATGATGCTGGATGGGAGAGATATTTTGCCCGCTGCATGTCAAATTCACATTGATGAGCACCGAAATCGAAACTGGAGTACTGAGAAACGTGTACTATTTTGCCCTACAGTCGGGCCAATCTTAGACGGGTCAAGCCCGGGAGTCTCGTTATATAGAGTCTTTATTTTCTCCAAAAGTGTCTAGTCGAGTCTTTTTCTCAGCGCGATGGACTCGAACCCGACGGCGAGGAGCGAGACGCACGGTTTTGCCAGCACCATCAAGGCCGATGATGATCACTGAAAATTCTTCTTTCCTGTCATCTTCAGATGCAGGTGAAGGAGCGAATATGAAGCCTTACCTCGTTAAGTACTCGTGTAAGCCTTTTAAGAGGTGATACATAGTGGATAATGTATGGAAAGCCTAACGTCCGTGCTCTGTTACTTGGTGTGACATGCTCCAAATAAGGCAGTCACATAATTGGGACACCGTGCACCCCTGACAAATTATCTAAGTAGGTAATTCAGTCCGTGTCGCATGAACTGAACATTTGTTTCCAAGAAGAAAATACTAAGATTACTACGAGGTTTCACTTTCTGCTCCACCTGCATAAGCCTCCAGCCCAAATGCTGGCCATTTGCAGTACTTGTTGCAAACATGGTCCTTCTCAAACTGACTCACGGTCATCTCCATGTTTCCATCCCCAAAAATATCGCGTCCTTCACTGATGGTTCTATCCGGATGTGTCAGATCAATTGGAAGGAGCCCAACACTCAGGCAACTCATGGATGTGTCAGAATTTGAGGGTCTGTCAGCAACATTGTACTCCCTAAAGGGATTGAGTCAATCTGAGTCAGTCTCACGCAGTGCACACTGGTATGTTGTCACACACCTTGATAATCAGATATAAATGCCAATTTACCAGTCTTGACATATTGTACATGCTGCGTGAATGCGAAGAACACCGCCAAGTCATAGCCATATTCGTCGTAGTCAACCAAAGGGTTGGCATCCATATTATGAATGAATTTGACGAAGTCTTCCCCATCGCTGTCAATGAACTCTTCAAGAAGGAAGACGGCGCGTGTGGACCCAGTCTTGCTTCCAGGTTTGCTACCGCCCTGATGATAAGCCAGTGCGAGTCCAGCTTCTACAAAGTGAACTTGTGGAATTAGGAATGGGGGTGGTTCAGACGAAGATGCGATGCAACAATCGATGAAGTCATAGGTTAGCTTTAACAAGGACTTGGCCCAGTACAAGATGTTCGCCTCCCTAAAGAGCTTTGATAGCTCGTCAACGAGTGAATAACGGGCAATCTTGTATGGTCCTGTTGTTGCAGCAGTTGGTGTCGCGAATACCTTATGGTAGGGTCGTTTGGAGACAATCTTATCCCGTGCAACAGAACCGGGGCCTGCCTTCGGTGGGGCCATCAGCGTGAGCCATCCTGTGTGGGCAGTTTTGAAGCCTCCAACTCCAATCAAGCCTTGAGCCGATGTGTCGATAATCAGCTCGCCCACGGACCACTCAGCAGTTTCCACTGAAAAGGAGTGGTTCTTGTCGAGTAACAGGTCGGTCATGGAGCGGGAAGGGATTAGGTAGAAGTGGATCCTCTCGTTCTGTCGCCCAAAGACTGAAATTCAAATGAGTCCCGCTTGCTAGTATCATGAGTACAACAAACATACCTTGCTTCACATCTATATCAGTGCCTCCTCTGATCCTCAAGACTTCCTTCAGTCGGTCACGATTGGGTGAGCAGAGAGCTGCAGGTACAACATCTCTCTTTCGAGGAGGAGACGGAGTACTAAAGCTACTAGAGCTGTGAGTGTGTTGATGGGTTCGCTTGGCGGAAGTAGTCGCAGTGGTCGTCTTTCGAGGAGGAGATGGAATACTAAAGCTACTAGAGCTGTCAGTGTGTTGATGGGCTCGCTTGGCAGAAGTAGTTGCAGTGGTCGTAGGTAAAATCACACCATCATTGATGGTGGCAGCTGTATCAAACTCACTCTCCAAGTCCAATGAGGATCGTATCGAAGAGGGGACTTGGGTAACTTTGCAAGCAGCATGTTGACTGATACAAGCGGCATTCTAGACAGCCGAATAATGTTAGGTTGGGGCAAACGAGTGAGGTAAGAGACTAGCACACGTACCATTTCAGCATCTTCCCACCAATTCTCATATTCAATCCACTGAGTCTCAGGGACAACGACCATTAGTGCGAACTGCTTCGATTTGAATACCATGGTCTTTGATCCTTTGTGGGATAGCTGCTGGCATTGATCGTAGAAGTAAGCAACCGAGGGCTGGTGACTGGAAAGATCCACCCATCCAGAATCTCGCACTATAAACTCATTGACCCGCCAGACAAATTCACCGCCAAAAATCTGTAACTTGGGCACGATAGTCACCAATGCAAGCTCGATCAGCCCTGGTGCATCAATCTGTGCATTGATGCCCTTCTTTCCCTCACATATATTCTAAACAAAGATGTCAGTCACCACCATGTTCAAGAAGGTTATGGCGCATACATACCCCAATGGGAACCCCGCGTTTCTTGCAACCTCCGCCTTCATGAACTGCACTAATCTCAATTGGGATGGTCTCCGCTGGAGGCAAGCATGTGGCATAAGCCATCTTGGCCCGGTGTTCGTGCTCCATACGATATAGCCCATGTTGAGACGAATACCCAATTGAACCAGCTGAGCGTGATGAACCTGCCGGCTGTGACGAGCCTTGCCATGATGTAGGTATCATGACGTCTGGCCCTGCAGTGTGACGAGGCATGGCCACCACAGGTGGAGGATTGACCATTACTGTTGTGCGAATTAGTGGAGGGACTCTCAACATATAATTTACTCACATTGCCGTTGTGCTGCATTCACTGACTGTTGAATTGCGCGCAAGTCAGGAACGCAGTGGTTAATTGAACCCTGCGCACTGGTAAACGGATGCAGCTGCTGGGCTCGGTGGGTGGGCCTCACTGAGGTCGCTGGGTTCTTCTTGTAATGTGCGTGGCAGGACACACACACATTACACCCAGGTTGTCCTGGCTCGATGGTAGCCACATAGAAACATGGCTCACCTTTCCTGATCTTGGCCCTGCAAACAGGACGGTCACAGATGCGGTCTTCTTTGGCATAAGTGTCCTCAGTGAATTGAGAAACGATCTCGTACTCTGCCATCATGGTCTGCGATAATCTGCTGGTGATTCGTCTCACCTTATATATACGAACTGAGCACGACCAGAATATATTAGTCAAAGAGACAATTCAAGAGGTTGTTTGGGAGGTTTACCAGGTCAGACACGAGCAGAACACATTGGTTGAGACACGTTAGTCGAACAGACAATTCAAGAGACAATTCAAGAGGTTTACCAGGTCATACATGACCGTAACACATGTGAGTCGCCAGAACACATCGGTCAAGGCGACATTTCGAGAGACAATTCTGACCATGGTGGATGATACGGATGATACGAGCCGGAGTTCAAATCTTGCTTGAACACTAAATGAGACGGATGGTGCTAGTTGAGGAGCAAGGTTAGCAATGCTCACGTGATTATTCAAGTTTGGCCACAAAGATCTGTTGCCAGTGGTACTAAGCAGCTCCTCCCACTAACACCAATTGATCCTTCAATTCCCATCCGTGATCGTAGAGTCGATGCTTCCCTCAATAGGCATTCAATTAGTTTCATGCCCTCCAGGACGCGCTCCTCTTCAAGCCGTCTAGGAAGTGCACAGTCTTCTGAAAAGCTCATAAACACCTACAAGCGCAGATTTGAAGTAAATGACTTACCCAGGATAATACATAAGGTCATACATGACCGGCAAACTCAGATTTGCAAGAGGATGACTGCTCTCCAGATCCAGGCCCAGTAAAGGCAGAGAGGATGAGTGCTCTCCAGATCCTCTGCTCTCCAGATCCAGGCCCAGTAAAGGCAGAGAGGATGAGCGCTCTCCAGATCCTCCAGATACCAGGCTCCAATAATGCCTATAAGCCAGTCCGCGGTCCGAGTAAAGCAATTCTAAATATGATGAGCGATACGAGTCGGAGTGAGTATTCACATGCAACTCTCTACAGATGGGCAAGACAAAGGGCGATTAGAGGAGGTAAGATGGTGAGAGGAGGTAAGACGGTGAGAAGAGAAGGTAAGACTCGGACCCTATGTCTTTGGCTCAAGATTGAAGTAACGTTATAAATACCAACACCTACACAACCGTTATGATCATTCAAGTCCCCATGCCCAACCAATGGAAACCCACTCGTGAGCGGCCACACTTTCACTATAACGTTAGTCCCAGTGTTCTGACCTTCAGGCAGCTCCGCTGGAGGTAATTGCGCCACATATTCTTCGCATGTGGAAGGCACGCCAGACAGACCATCAGATTGTCCTTGAGCTGCAGAAGCACATCGACACAACTCGCTACGGCATCGGGTAAGTCACAGGGTTTTTATTCCTCATACATAATGTAACGTTAAACACTAGACGTACCAAATTTCTCGAAATCCGCAAAGCAATGGGTCTTCAACGGACCCGTCAGCAAGCACATACTGTTGAGTCTATCTGCGATGCAATGGTCGAGTTACGTGCGATCTATCCGAATGCGGGAGCACGCGAAATGGCAAGCTTACTGTATCATGAGCAGGATATGAGTGTGGCTAGGTGATATGACTGTGCCGACTGTACTGCATTCAGGTCGCTGACTCTTTTTCATCTTAGGAGTGTCATAACATCATACTTTGCGGTGTTTGAACCTGATCTTGTCCATGCTGCACATGGGTATTGAGCCGTTCTCTGGCCGCATTATGTGGATCCGAGTCTGGCACTCTAACAGAAATCCGCAGTTGATTCTTACCTATTACCTTGACACGCTTGAGGAACTTGGCCGTAAGTCAATTTGCATCTTTCAGGGCGCCCAGCAGCCTGATTCATTTCATAGATATGCCTATGGTAACACAAGGCGACCCTGGTTCTGAGAATTTCAGCATTGCAAACGCCCACACCATGTTGCGGCAATGGCATGACCCAGCTTTGCATGGCACACTCCAGCATCGCTGGATGCAAAGCAAGAAAAACGTCATGCCTGAAATTATGTGGTCTCAACTGCGTCGCCGTTTCACCCCAGGGTTTGAAAACCTACTAGATCATGGTGTTAACGCGGGCTGGTATGATACTAACAATACCATTCAAGTGTGAGTTTTTGGGCCTCATGTCATCACTAACAGCTCACATGTTTGTTCAGACTGGTTTTCCGTTGGGTCTTTCATCCCGTGGCTCCAGCGGGAGCTGGATGCCTATCAGGATCGCGTCAATAACTCCATGAAACGGCACGACCGCAACAAGATTCTCCCACACGGCATCCCAAATATTATCTACGAGGCAGCTGAAGACTTCGGTGCCTTGGATTTCAAGGTTCGTTACATATCGTTACATATATCAGTCAACAGTATTTCTAATATAATCCCGTGCACAGATCAAACTTGAACCAGAGGCTTTAGACCATGTACGAAGTGCCTACATCAAGCCTTCGCATCCAGTATTTGATCTGGTTCCCGAGGCGTTTGGAGAATGTATCTCGCACTTCTATGATGAATTGGGTCACCCAGCAGTTACACGGCAATCAGCTTGGGAGATTTATCTTCAGTTGTTGGAAATGTTGCAGCACGCTGATGAGCTGCCTCCGCAGATTGAGCTCCTAGACAGCGAAGATGAAGAAGTTATCCCACTTTTGGACAATTATGAGGACCTACCTGCACACGAGGAATCCAACAACGCATATTATATGGGGGGTGTGAATGGAGGACTCGGCATGGATACCAGGACATCATTGTCAATTGGACATCCTTGAGCGTGACGATGAGCCGGAATTGACAGGAGCTGATGATGCCGGCTTGGTTGTTTCAGAGTTCTCAGACTGTGAAGATGACGATAGTTTTCGCAGATGAATGGTAGATAGTAGATACATGAAATGTCTAACTGCATCACTCCGAAGCCAATATTATAACGCGAACGGTGTACAGGGTCTTATGCCCTTAAATGGGTGCGTGACACCGATTTAAGAGCACGGACGTTAGGCTTTCCATAATAATGGTGGGAGGAAATTAATTGGAACTGGCAGCGGTTGACTCAGCACTACTACTTAAAATACAAGTAGCTCAGTTATAGGCGCCCAGCTGCAGCAGCAAAGCCTACACTGGTTGCCGGGTGCCAGGTTCACTTTTAGTCATCGTCGATATTTAGAAGGAACGACCGTCTTCCTTCTATTTGGTTGGCCTACTACGAGAGACTACCGTCACGGTGCCAGCTTAGCAACTGGTTCTGCTTGACTCTTCCGGAAATCTACTACCTTCCAAGCATTGATAGATATCCCCTGACGGCTTCCAAATCTACCAACCTCTTACAAGCGACCACTTACGATAGGACCCCTCACATCGCGCAATAGAATCATAATGTCAGAGCTGACACTGTCATTACCTACCAATGTTCCAAGTAGCAATACAATGACACTACGTCTATTGAACTTGCGCATGGGGATGTCGGAAAGATCGATGTTTCCTCAGTGATAATTTATCACCGAGTCAACGTCGATCTATCAACAAGGGCAGGTTATGATGCTCCAATTCTTCGGGGCTGAATGCCAGAACGCACTTGAGTCCTGGAATATGGAATCAGGACAAGGTTCAACTGCTGCTTGGGAAGGATAACCAATGCCGTGCACGCTGACGGACGCCTCAGGTACGACTTCTCCCCTAGTGTTCTTCTTAACGTGATAGAACATTACTACAGTTATGACATCGTGAATTCGCAATCTGTTCGCATAGAGTTACGCATCACACAGGAGTTCTTCCACCGTATCCAGGTGAACCGTATGAGTCACCCAAATGCCCCTGAACAAAAGGCTTCGGGAATAGTGAACTATTAACTTGAAGTAGTAAGTCATACTGATATGTAACCAAAGCCGGTTTACGGACCCTCAGCGCGTGGGAAAAGTTCGGGTTTTTGCCTGTCCAGCAGCAGCCAGCAGCATGCTGACTGTGATTTTTTATGAGATTGACGCAGGAGCGACGGCAGCTATGCAACTAACGCCGATAGTGCCGTGCAACAATGTCAGGGTGTAGCGGGATCATATCTTCATGTTCAAATCCGTCGCCGGCCATACCAATCGACCTACTTCATTTAGTGTATACATATTACGCGACCTACGTTCAGGGATAATTGCCAAAGGGAGCAGAGATAGGCTGCGGAGGGGAAAGTTTAGGCCTGTATGATATAGCCCATATGTCCCTTGACTGGCACGGCTGCCTCTGGATGATCAATCTGGGGGTCGATGACCTGTCAAATATCACATTTCGTATTTTGTTTTGCCGAAATGTACCTGAGATCAGTCTCATGACGAGCGGAGAGTCAGCGCGCTCGGTGTAGCAAATATAAGGATAAGGCTCTTACCGTCGAGACACTGGCTTTTGTCGCCGCTCGCGATGCATATGAGGTATATAGCCAAATTGCACGGTTCCGAAGATGGTCTCGCCTTCGAAAAATTGTCAATTACATGAATAAAACAAATAGTGCTATTGGCTCGCTGCCAGACTCCAGAATTGCAACCGCACACATCTGGACGTATGTAGGAAGGTACAGCGTTCTGACTCCGAGAACTGGGAGACGCATATCTGAAGAAGAGATCGACGACGACGCGAGGGCAGAAGGCTGATTATAATTCCTTGAACGACGATCTGTAACCAATTACAGTTCGTCTCACCAACCAGCTCACCCGCCTGGTTCAGTCAGGGAACCAGAAGCAAAGACCCGTAGAGTGAAGGGAGAAATATGAGACCCGGAGTCTGCAGAGTGCCAAGCACCAGGTGTCGGATCACGATGTTATACTGCTGTGACTCCTCGCAGCAATCAAGGTGCGCCCGTGAACACAGAATTCCCCCCATTCTGCATCGTGGCACGGGGAAGAGACCTCTGAATAGAATCAACAACGGACACAATGTATAAGGACGAACTCCATAAATGCAAACGAACGATGACTCGCCAGCGCCACCAAATCAATCATTAAAAAAAGACTCGACATGACTGCTGGCTGATACAAATCCCTAACGAAATCTAATTCCAAAAGCTTCACTACAGGCCCCGCCAAATCACCGCCGGTCAACATAACCAATCAGCAATCAAACCCCAAACCACGCAATCCAGATCACATACCGTCTACGCGCAAGAACGACCGATCAACAGCTTGCGAATGCCAGCTCGACCCATCAGTCAACCACACGCGCGCACTCCCCGAAACACCCAAACCATTTAAACAAGCAAGATGGATCCTCCCCTAGATCCTCGTCTCCATCTTCCACCGATATCGTCGTGTTCCTCCTCCTCATGCTTTCCCTCTTCTGATCCCTGCGGTGCTGAGAGATAGATGTCGATCGTTTAGAGGAGAAGTGTATGTCTGGGAAGCGCGTTGTTCATTTATCGTGAGGAATGAGGCCTGAGTCGTGTGAGAATTGGAATGGTGACACGTCATTCTAAATCCACATGACTCAGGCCTCTTCTGTTCGCCCAGAACACCGAACCCAAACTTCAAACGAAACAACCAATATCCCATCCAATTCACCCATCCACCATTCTGCAGGCGCAAGAATGAAGGATCAACAGCGCCACGGACGCTAGTTCAAAAACCCGTCGGTCCTGGTCAACCCCGAGGAGAAACTAGTTTATTGACGGGAGAAAGAGGTGGGTATTTTGACAATTTTGGGAGGAGGGGAGTGTATCTGTGTGGAATGAGGAATGACGAGGGCGTGCTACACATTGAACTCAACGAGAGCGCACATACCAAAGTCTCCCCCCTCCCCATCTTGCATCACTACGGCCGAATCATACTATCCGTATCAGATTGAGGATTCGGATATCGCGTTTCCCTTCAAACAGAAGTGTATGCTTGGGGGACATGGAGAGAGGGACTGCCCGCTGTGTTTAATTCAGTCAGAATGAGGATTCGTGCTATGGAGGTTGATTAATAACTTGAAAGAGCGTCGAAAAGAAACACCAACACCAATATCGAAACTGGGGCAATGAGATTCAGATCTAGAAGACACGCCCCAAAGTCAACAATCGTCCTTCAAATTCTTGACTCCGAACAGCGTTTTTATGTTCATCTTCTCCGTGGATTATGGCTTGAGTTTATTCCCAGAGTCAGTCTTTTCTCAACGGAAAGTGGAAGTTGCAGGGGAGAAGCTAGAACCCGAATCCGACTCGTCTCGAAGTTGGAGTTGGAGTTGAGGAGAAGTTGTGTCTGTGGGCATTGAGAGTGAGGAGTGAGTGGGGCGTGCATGTAGTGAACTCAACGAGTGCACATACCAAGGACTTCCCAACCCAGATGATAGATCAAATTCCAAGTCGTCGCCGAGTGAAATCAGAGAAGTTTAGATGGGAGGGATATCTTACCTGGGTCCTCATCATGATCTTATCCGAAGCATACCAGGTTTAGGTTTAGCGAAATTGAACGTTGAAGTTTTAAAATTTAAAGGCAGTACTACGACAGTATACCCGTAAGCACTAGTCGTTGCTTCTAGGCTGAGTATGGGTCAAGCAAATGGACGTAAGTAGTGGCGCAGAAGCAGATGACTCATAGGAACGCGTTGAATTGGTAATAAATACCATACTACATTCCAGTAGATAGCATGGGACAGCATGCAACACAACAATAACAAAGATCTCCATGCTCGTATATATAAACGCCTAACCCTCAAACAGCACGTATCAACCAAACACAAGATAGAAAAAATATGGATACTAGGTCGCTTGGCCCTATGACAACGCCCCCCAAACAGCCAACCCCGCGAAAAAGGTCATGATGCTGACCAACACGCCAACATAGGCAGCGGTATGCACGCCTACACGTGGTAGGAGGGCTGGTGTGTGCAGCGCTGCGAGGCTGGCGTGGAGGAGGAGAACGAGGGGGGTGGTTATGATGAATGGGATGTATGAGCTGTCATATGATTGCATGTGTGAGTCCGCGTAGGAGTGAAGGAAACCTTTGAGTTGGACTGTTACAGTGAGGGATGACAGTCGGTCGGATACGTCTGAGAGGGGGAGGGAGAGTGGGGAGCGGAGGTATGCCGCGCTGAGGAGGAGGGTGAGGCCTATGGAGAGGAAGATGGAGTTGAAGCGTTGGAGACAGGATACGAAGACTGGAATTTTCTGTGTGACATGATTAGAGAGTTAATTAGAGACGCGGGGGTACGCACGATGACGGGAACCCCATAAACCTCCTCCAGCTCATCTCTCATCTTTATCACAAGTAACTTCTCTAACCCACGATCTATGCGCGATTCAACGCTTCGAACTTCTCCGTCTTCTAATCCGTTTTCAAACGTCTCACGTTCCTGTTGCGGAGAATGGGGATTTTCGAGTGCTGGGTCGGATTCGTTGAAAGACCCTGATTTCAGACGTTCGAGGAATTCGGTTTCTCGTCCTTCTGGGACCATGACATCACGGTAAAGAGCAAGCTGCTCGTACCCTTGTACAATAGCAGCGAGCACCTCTGCAAAGTTAAGGGAAAGCCACCACACAGTGCGGAAAGCAGGGTCCTGGCAAGTAGGGGCGGGATAATCCATTGTGTGTCTGACTTGGAGAACCACGAGGGCTGCGAGACGAAGACCGTTTGTGATGAGGACATGAATGAATGTACTTGCGAGAGAAGCGGATTCTGAAGGGAGTAGGAAGGAAGCGAGTGAAAAGAGTGGGATGCGGAGTAGATGGGCGAGGCTGAAGAATGCGCTGGAGATGAGAATTTCAGGTAAAGGGAAGGGGAAAGATGATGGGTATGAAGAAGGGAAATCTGCTATGGGCCAAGCCAAGTCTGGGAGGAGTGCTAGGACAGTGAATATCACTATTGCGAAAATTGGAACGAAAGCATTCAGTAAGAGAAGTCGAGAGTATGAGCCTAAAAAAGGCTGTAAGTACTAAGAAAAGAAGGTTTAGGGGAACGAACCAATATACAGTCCATTATTTTGAAGCTCCCACTCAAGGTCGTCGTCGTCTTCGTCATTCAAAACGTTGTCCTCCTGTGGATTAGGACTGGCAATGATACTTTCGACTGGTGAGTTCATGGCTGGAAAGCCGATGTCAGCATAAGCGTTGGTCACAGGCCCTTCAACAACCGGCTGGGCCCAGTCTGGATCCCATGGGTATTCCAGACTTGCACTGTGAGGCAACACTGCAGCGGCTGTTTGTGCAACTCTTCTATGCATCGAGTTGGTGGTCAATGTCTACCCTACTACTTCATGTCTACTTCATGTTTTGTACGCTGTGATAAGAAGCGAGGGTCTGCACAGTGAGAACCTCCGCGCGTAATTACGTGTCCCCATTCAGCTCGTGGCAGATATCACTACACTCTACTGGTACCACTAGAGTGACAGCATATTTTGCAACACTCTACCGGAACCACTAGTCGTGGCAGACACTATTGATAGTGGCCACTAGTCACCTATGCCTGCCCATCCTAGCATGGCATCGACGCGAAATGCACCCTTCATCGACACTTCCCACTGACTAACACCATATGCAACGCGGTAGTCACGTTGCCCTATAATGAAATCGTATCAGCATCATAATCTCTATACAACGCAGAGCAAAATAAAATAAAAAGGATCAGCTTTCGATGCATTTCAACAAGAGAATGCCCCCATCTCCACATTGTACACCGGGAGACTTAACGGGAGCACCACGTTCGGTCCGCCCATCGAATAGATTTCATCCACACTTATGACGACAACGGCAAAAAGGATTTGAAGTGGACAGTAGACTTACAATTTGTCAATAGGTAATCCACCACATATAATGCATGCCTGAGACGCAAGAGATCAGTTAATGGTCAAAAACATAAAGAGAAAAGTAAATGTCAGACAAGGCTGAAATCAATAATATCGTCCACATGTATATTCGGAATGTGGTAAAGTACTGATAGTCATCACGAACAACGAAAGGAAGGAGTACTCACTGTCTACACCATCACCATGATCGAACGCTGCTGTAGGGTCTAGGACATCAAAGAAAACTTTTAGAAAGGAATTTAAACCTCCGACAGTCCCAAACCCTCGCGGAGCCAAAAATCTAAATCATGCCGCCCTAATTCCGATCACACTTGAATCAGCCAAGTCTCCTCCAACCCAATCACTATGCAATCCCTCCTCCGATGGAGCGTAGAAAACTCTACCCCAAGCACCGGCCCCCCACCCACAACAACTACCAATAAGCTCGATCCCGGAATCATCGATCACATCCTCGGTAAACCAGACGCCCAACTCATGAGAGAAGCTCTCATAATAGGTGTCGATGAACGGCAGACTGAAGATGATAGATTGCAGGCGCTTGATGATCTCGAGATGGTGCGTCCAATGATCAAACGTCGTATGTGGTTGCTTACGATGGGGATATAGCTAGTTCAGAATATCGATAATGCAAATGGTGATTATACTCCCGTGGATTGATGCGCGATCTGATAGATGGCATAACACAGACCTGGAGAAACTAGGGCTATGGCAACCCCTACACAACCTCCTCCTAGCATCCGATACAACAGACACCCTCAAAATGCAAACGCTTTGGATTATCGGAACCGCGCTACAAAACAACCCAGCTGCTCAACTCGCCGTAAGTCCTCCTTTGAATTTGGATATGGATTATGGGCAGGATTGCGCGCTATGCTAAGTGCGCAATAGTTTAACACGCAATCTAGCCCATGATCCAAATCCACCCCCAATTCACCTTCACTAACAGTAACTTTGTGTTTATGTTTTATCTGATAACAGTATCTCGACCTCGACCCTCTCCCTACACTGCTCAAATCCCTCTCCCCCACATCCAATTCCGCTGAGACTCGCTCACGAGCCCTATATGCGCTTTCGGGGCTATTGAAACTGAACGCTGCTGCTGTGCAACAGATGGGTGCGGTGGGTGGATGGAACGCGTTGAGGATATGTTTAGAAGGTGCGTATCGTCCCATAACCCCTACCTTATTTGTACGGTCACGACACTCATACATGAATAGACTCAGAAATTCGCGTCCGCAGAAAAACAACGTTTCTACTCAACACACTCCTCCTCCCAACATCCTCCTCACAGGTTAACCTCCAGCCAAACATAAACCTCCCCACCTCAGAAACCGCACCGCCCCAAATCCACGCAAATTCCCATGCTTCGATGCTCTCTGATCCGTCGTCCGTCTCAACGTCTGCTCTCACGCTCGCTGCAATTCAAAAGGAGGGAGAGGAGGGATCCTTGTCTTTGCTCGATGCGTTGATATCAGCCTTGATCGAACCTGTCCCGTTCGGTGTTGATGGTGAGGTGGAAAAGGATGAGGAATTTCAGGAGAATGTTGTTAGGTGGGTCCGATCCTGATCCCTCCCCACCTTCCTTTCACTCCCGTATGAAATTGGATTCGGTTGTTGACGTTGGGATGGAACTAGGATTTTATATACATTCGCAACAAGCTGCAACGGTGCTTTCTCAGATGTGCAGAAACGCAGTCTTTCGGGGTTCTTAGGAGGGATTACTACGACGCAAGGAGAGGAGTCGAACTTTGGGTTGACGAATGGGGAGTGGGAGGAGTTGAGTGGGGCTGTGAGGTCGTAGTGCGATTCGGTAGAGGATGCGACGAAATAGCATTTGATTTGATTTGATTTGTTTTAACACCACACCACACTAATGTTGATGAATCCTGATATTAGATGATCGTTCGTTTGTGATAACACCATTTTCGTATTTATCTAGCCGGACAGGTCACGAAGAAGTGCTCTGATATCTGTTTGCACGCATCGGCATCTAGTATTCTTGGTTCTTGAATCCATCTTCATCTTCGATATCCGGTTTTAACGATTGACATCACGCTACATGCGATTCAGGACGATGGCACCGTTGACTTTTGTCATTAATGATTTAGTGTCGGCATTGATCAAGCATGAATCAAGCCTGACTTGATCATTACAGCCGAGTCTTGTTTTTCTGCTCCTGTATTAGATTATCATGCAATGGTTAAAATGACGTTATGTTGGAGTTAGAATTATATGCACGTTCGTCACAAGTTGCAACGGCAGTTTTTCAGCTGCAGGGATAGTATACATTGCAGACGGAGGTGGCAAGGCGTCTGGTATCCGTATCGTACACCAAGAACGGTTCGAAATACATCAGAGGGAGTGGAAGAGCACATCAACGAGAGTCCGCCGAGAGATGTGAAGGCATGCGAGTCATGGAGGATGTCAAGATCTAATGATGATCATCCGTATATTCAGGAGAGAGACAACCGAGAAAAAGCCAAATGCGAGTCCAGAGTCCAGTATCTTTTATCATCGCGTGACGGCGTGACGGCGGTGTTGATATTGTAGCTGTGGTAGCGTCACCGGCAGTGGCAGGTGTGGAGGACGACGAAGCCTGTGGTTGCGAAGATGGCTTAGTAACATTGGGCTTGGGAGGCTGTGGGCTGCCCGCAGTAGAGTTCTTCGGGTGCAATGCTTTCGTTTTCTGTTTCTGTTTCTGTTTCTGTTTCTGTTTCTGTTTCTGTTTCTGCTTCGCTAACGCAACCTCCCTCGCTGAAGCGTTTCTCTACGTGATATTAGGTCAAGTTGAACATCCGAGAAGGAGAAATAACGTACACGTTTGCCTTGCGCATGCGGGACCTCGACAACTGCGGAGCTGCGCCCTTGCAACTCAACTTCTTCACCATTTTGTCTGCGCAGTTTGAAAAGGTTTCGAGCCCAGTCGAGAGGAGAAGACAGTGATGTATCATGGGCATTGGAGGGACTGCGATTGCGGTGGAATAAACGCCCCACAAATGTGGTTTCTTGTGGTGCCGAGGACTGAAACCGTGGAGGTCAGGATGATACTCAAAGTGATAGTGATGACGTACATGAGTTGGTGGGACTCCATCGAAGAAACCATGGGGTACACGACCAGCAGCCGGACGTTGCTTGATTGGACGTCGCGCAGCATTAGCCTAGAGTACATATGTCGAATAAAATGATATTTTAGAATGAAGGTGTGTGCACGTACATGGAGTGCCGGCTTGTTGGCCTGGTAGAGCGGGTTCAGTTGGGAGAATATAATAAAGTGAGACTGTCAACTCACCTTTGAATATGACAGAAGTTCGTCGAGGCCGGCTTCTTTAACAATTGCAGCAACATCCCAAGAGTACGCGTTTTTGTCATTGCAACCGGTGGCTAGTAGCTTTCCATCCTCGGAAAACGACACGCAGTTCACTTGCTTTGCGTGCTGGAGGGGCGAACTGATGGGTTGTCCATTGTCGAGGTTCCACAATCGCGCTGTTTTGTCACCCGATGCGCTTGCGAGGATGCGGTCATTCGGTGATATTGCAATGGCAAAGACCTCATCAGTATGGTCATCCAGAACCGCGGTTTGCTCCCAGTTGGTTGTATTCCATGTCCTAATAGAGTGATCGTATGACCCGGAGATAAGCGTTTTCCCGTCCTTGGTCCAAGCCAGGCAACGTACCGCCCGAGTGTGTCCTTTGAGAGTTGCGACAAGCTTGCCTGTCTTTGCGTCCCAGATTTGAATTGAGTACTCCTGTTTTCCATTCTGGGGCTCATCAAGTCCACCAGTCGCAATCAAGGTCATGTCTGGTGAATAGACGACTGCCCACACTTCTTCGTGTCCTGTCTTGATCGATGCAAGTATGGTTTCTCCACTTTCCTCGTCCCGTCTTTCCACGTCCCATTGCCTTGTAGTGCCATCGTCAGATCCGCTTAACACTCTCCGACCATCTCGACTCCAGTAAACAGACGCCACTATTTTGGTGTGCCCCGTCCATTTAGCGATGACCTTGCATGTGTTAATGTCCCACAACCTCACTGCACCATCCTCACCCCCGCTACTAACCATTTTCTTCCCGTCCGGAGACAACGCTATACTGTACACTCCACTTTCTCCATCTTTCCCCTTTTCTCCTATCTCACTCCCGCTAAGCACTTTCTTCCCATCCGGAGACAACACTATGCTTTTTATTGCACTTTCTCCGTCTCTCCAGTCGTCTCCTATCTGTTTCCCGCCCTTTAAGTTCCATACCCGCAGCGAGTCATCCAATGAACATGTGGTGATACGCTGTCCGCCTGGCAGGTGTATGACGCCCCAGACAGGATCAGTGTGTCCTTCAAATTTATGGCGAGGCGTTATCGCCGATGCTTCTTTCGTTTTAGCGGTTGGTGAGGCCATGGTTCAGAATTCCGACTTTGGAGCGCAGCGCCATCTCAGTTTTCATCCATCAAATTTCAAAATCGTCATTTACGAGGAGGTTTCTCAGATGCGATGGGCGGGAAACAGGGAATAATGGTTGTTTGGGTCAAGTCAGAGTTGAATACACTGCTTCCGGGTACGTTATTGTACATGCCGTACCCTCATGTTCATCTCATAGCTTATACAGCATAGGCTGTGCAGCTGAAGCGCCCGAGCATCACAGGGTTACATTCCATTGAGCTTCAATCCACGATTAGCTAGTTTTCAACAACTACGGAAGACGAGATGCTGTTCTCTGCGAGGCGTTCTCATGCGTTCCAAATGTCAGCTGCTGTCGATTGCAAACACAATTATAGTGCCCCTCGTTATTCGCATTAACCGCATACCAAGCCCTGTTCCAATATGCCAGAAGTGTACGCGAGAACTGGATACCTTGAAATGAATATCCATAGACCGAATACACTCTTCTGCCGTCCAGTCCCGGGAAACGGCCTTACTTCCTAGGGAATGTTGTTCCTTCTAGGTCGCACACTGTGTTCTGGCCCTGTTGTGCTCCAGCCCTGTCTGATGCTAATGTGAAGAGACATGGGCAGTCGAGATAGTCATCTGACGAGACCTGCGGACACCTGGTTTGACAAGAGAGGATCTATCTGGACGTCAAAAGCAAATACGTTCATTCGTCGGTGGAATCATTGATTGGAACGTGCGAGAAGATGACACATTTCAACAGTGGCATTGCGCTTGGTGTGGATACACATTTTACTGAGTTCTTCTGCCAATATAATATCGGCGAGGGCCCGAGAGTAGGCCAATGTTGAGGTCTGTTGGCAATGCAGATGACATCCGTTCAAAAGGGGATTCCAGGTGGATAGGTTACCACGAAGTTCTGCCAGAACAAAATTCAGCACATAAAAGCAAGCTGTTTTCCACCGTTCCCTTGTCAAAGTGGTCGGACATGATAACTTACCGTGACAGAACTTTCGATACTCTGAGTCCAGTTCGAACTCCTCCAACAGCCGGACCGAGCGAGCCGCTATGTCAGTTTGAACTCCGCTAGAACATGAATGCACTTACAGACGACTCACGAGGAAGGCTTCAAGTCGTTGAGCCACTGGAATCCCCGATCGAATACTTGAAACATCATGCACATCTTCAAGAAACCATTCGGGTAAAATTTTCCAACCCAGGACGAAAACACCGTGCAATCCCTCCTCCGATGGAACATAGAAAACTCCACCCCAAGCACCGGTCCCCCACCCACCACCACCTCCAATAAGCTTGATCCCAGAGCCATCAATCACATCTTCTGTATACTAGATGCCCATCGCATAAAAGAAAGTCTTACAGCGGGCCTCGATGAAAGGCTGGATGAAGGCGATAGATTACAGGCACTTGATGATCTCGAAATAGTACGTCCCTCTCGTCTCATGGTCGAACCTCGTGTTTGCTTACCATGAAATACAACTAGTTCAGAATATCGATAATGCGAACGGTGATTATATGATTGATGTGCGATCTAATAAATGGGATGAAACAGACCTGGAGAAACCAGGGCTATGGCAGCCCCTACACAACCTCCTCCTAGCATCCAATCCGAGCGGCACCCTCAAAATGCAAATGCTTTGGATCATCGGACCCGCGCTACAAAACAAACCAGTCACTCAAGTCGCCGCAAGTCCTCCTTTGAATTTGCATGTGGATTCTGGGCAGGATTGCGCACTAGGCAAAATGTGCAAAAGTCTAACACGCAATCCAGCCCATGATCCAAATCCACCCCCAATTCACCTTCACTAACAGTGCTTTGCATTTCTTTTTTATCTGATAATAGTATCTCGACCTCGACCCTCTCCCTACACTCCTCAAATCCCTCTCCCCTACATCCGACTCCACCGAGACTCGCTCACGAGCCCTATACGCGTTTTCTGGGCTCTTGAAACTGAACGCTGCCGCCGTGCAACAGATGGGTGTGGTAGGTGGATGGAGCGCATTGAGGATGTGTTTGGAAGGTGCGTATCCTCCCACATTTCCTACCTCTTTTTATGATCACGATACTCACGCATGAATAGACTCAGAAAATCCGCGTCCGCAGAAAAACAACATTCCTGCTCAACACTCTCCTCCTCCCAACCTCCCCCTCACAGGTCAACCTCCAACCAAATATAAGTCTCCCCACCTCAGAAACCGCACCACCCCCAATCCACGCGAATTCCCATGCTTCGATGCTCTCTGATCCGTCGTCCGTCTCAACGTCTGCTCTCACGCTCGCTGCAATCCAGAAGGAGGGAGAGGAGGGGTCCTTGTCATTGCTCGATGCGTTGATATCGGCCTTGATCGAACCTGTCCCGTTCGGTGTTGACGGGGAGGTGGAAAAGGATGAGGAATTTCAGGAGAATGTTGTTAGGTGAGTCCGATCACTTCACACCTTCCCTTCCTTTCACTCCCGTATTGGATCGTTGATGTTGGGACGGAACTAGAATATTATACACGTTCGCGACAAGCTGCAACGGCGCTTTCTCAGACGTGCAGAAACGCAGTCTTTCGGGGTTCTTAGGAGGGATTACTGCGACACATGGAGAGGAGTCGAATTTTGGATTGGCGAGTGGGGAGTGGGAGGAGTTGAGTGGGGGCTGTGAGGTTGTAGTGCGATTCGGTAGGGGATGAGACGAAATAACATTTGATTTTTGTTTTGTTTTACTGCCACACCACACTAATATTAATGAATTCTGATATGAGATGATCGTTCGTTTATGACAACACCATTTTCGTTTTTATCTAGCCGGACAGGTGACGAAGTGCTCTGATCGATATCTGTTCACATGCATCGACATCTAGTATTCTTTGATTCTTGAATCCATCTTCATCTTCGGTATTCGTTTCAACGACTGATATCACGCTACGTGCGATGGTACCATGGAATTTTGTCATCTGATGCTTTGATGTCGGCGTTGATCGAGCACGACTTGATCACTACAAGCAAGTCTTTTGTTTTGCTCCTGTGTGAGGTTGTCAATGTTCATGCAATGGTTGAAACATTGATGCTATGTTGGAGTTAGGATTTTATACACGTTCGTTGCAAGCTGCAAGGGCGATTTTTCAGCTGCAGAAAGAATGTGTAGGTAGTATACATTGCAGGTGGTGGTTCTGGCGTCCGTATTGTACACATAGGACGGTTTGAAATACGTGGGACGAGTAAATAGGGCACATCAACGAGAGTCCGTCGAGATATGTAAAAGGATGCGAGATGTGTAGGATGAGAAGATCTAATGATGATCGTCCGTATATTCAGGAGAGAGACAACCGAGAAAGAGCCAAATGCGAGTCCAGAGTCCAGCATCTTTTATCGTTGCATGACGGCGTGACAGCGGTGTTGAAGTCGTAGCTGCCGTAGCATCACCGGCAGCAGGTGTGGTGGACGACGACGAGCCAGCTGCATGTGGTTGCGAAGATGGCTGGGTGGCATTAGGCTTGGGAGGCTGTGAGCTACCCGCAGTAGAGTTCTTCGAGGGTAATGGTTTCATTTTCTGTTGTCGCTGTTTCGCTAATGCAGCATCCCTCGCTGAAGCGTTTCTCTACGTTACATCAGGTCGAGTTGAACGTCCGAGAAACAGAAATAACATACACGTTTGCCCTGAGCATATGGGGCCTCGACAACTGCGGGGCTGCGCCCTTGCAACTCAATTTCTTCACCACTTCGTCCGCGCCGTTTGAAAATGTTACGAGCCCAGTCAAGAGGGGAGGAGGTTGATATATCCTGGGTACTGGAGGGGCTGCGATGGAATAAGCGTCCAAGAAGTGTGGTTTCTTGTGGCGCTGAGGTCTGAAACCGCGGAGGTCAGGATGACGATCAAAGTGATAGTGATGACGTACATGAGCTGGTGGAACTCCATCGAAGAAACCATGGGGTACACGACCAGCAGGTAGGCGTTGCTGGACCGGAGGTCGTGTAGCATTAGCCTAGAGTGTATATGTTGAACAAAATGAGATTTTTGAATGAGCGTCACGTACATGGAGTGCCGACTTGTTGACCTAGCAGAGCGAGTTCAGTTGTGAGAATGTGATAAATGAGACTATCAGCTCACCTTCGAATGCGAAAAAAGTTCGTCGAGGCCGGCTCCTCTAACAATCGCAGCAACATCCCATGAGTACGCGTTTTTGTCATCACAACCGGTGGCTAGTAGCTTTCCATCCGCGGAAAACGACACGCAGTTCACTTGGTCTGCGTGCTGGAGGGGCGAGCTGATGGGTTGTCCATTGTCGAGGTTCCACAATCGCACTGTTTTGTCACCCGATGCGCTTGCGAGGATGCGGTCATTCGGCGATATTGCAATGGCAAAGACAATGTTAGTGTGCTCAACCAGAACCGCGGTTTGCTCCCACTTGGTTGTATTCCATGTCCTAATCGAGTAATCGTATGACCCGGAGATAAGCTTTTTTCCGTCCTTGGTCCAAGCCAGGCAACGCACTGGCTCAGTGTGTCCTTTGAGAGTTGTGACAAGCTTGCCTGTCTTTGCGTCCCAGATTTGAATTGCGGCGGGTTCTCTACCCGAGGGTTCGTCACGTCCACCAGTTGCAATCCAGGTCATGTCTGGTGAATAGACGACTGCCCACACTTCATCGTGTCCTGTCTTGATCGATGCAATTATGGTTTCTCCGCTTTCCTCGTCCCGTGTCTCCTCACTTTCCACGTCCCATTGCCTTGCTGTCCCATCGTCAGATCCGCTTAGCACTCTCCGGCCATCTTGACTCCAGCAAACATGTCCCACTTCGTCTTTGTGCCCTGTCCATTTAGTGATGACCTTGCATGTGTTAATGTCCCACAACCTCACTGCACCATCCTCACCCCCGCTACTAACCATTGTCTTCCTGTCCGGAGACAACGCTATACAGCACACTCCACTTTTTCCATCTTTCCATTCTTCTCCTATCTCACTCCCGCTAACCACTTTCTTCCCATCCGGAGACAACTCTATGCTTTTTATTGCACTTTCTCCGTCTCTCCAGTCGTCTCCTATCTGTTTCCCGCTCTTCAAATTCCACACCCGCAGCGAGCCGTCCTCTGAGCAAGTGATGATCCGCTGTCCGCCTGGCAGGTGTATGACGCCCCAGACACTATCAGTGTGTCCTTCAAATTTCTGGCGAGGCGTTATCGCTGATGTTTCTTTCGTTTTAGCGGTTGGTGAAGCCATGGTTCAGAATTCCGACTTTGGAGCGCAGCGCCATCTCAGTTTTCATCCATCAAATTTCAAAATCGTCATTTACGAGGAGGTTTCTCAGATGCGATGGGCGGGAAACAGGGAATAATGGTTGTTTGGGTCAAGTCAGAGTTGAATACATTGCTTCCCGGTACGTTGTCGTACATGCTGTATCCTCGTGTTCATTTCATAGCTTATACAGCATAGGCTGTGCAGCTGAAGCGCCCGAGCATCACAGGGTTACATTCCATTGAGTTTCAGTCCATGGTTAGCTAGTTTTCAACAACTACGGACTACGGAAGACGAGAGGCTGTTCTCTGCGAGGCGTTCTCATGCGTTCTTGATGACAGCTGCTGTTGAATGCGACGATGAATTAGCATTGCAGTGAGTTGAGTTGCCTATATGCTAGTACCTGTTATCTAATCGGCTCTGGAACATTCTCTTAAGTTCACTGCTTGGTGTTGTCTCCTGCTTCGAACAAGCACGCACATCAGATCAACGACAGTTTACGAACAAATGGCTAAGGAACATTCCCTGCCGCGCACTTCGTCCTTCTCTCCCAGCTGCATCATATTCCGCCTGGCGATCAAGATGGGGTATTGCTCACTGTGATTTTGAACAGACAGGTTCTGTTTCACACATCGTGAATTGGGTATGAGTAACGGTAGTACCTGATAACTGATCGCCAACCTGCAGATAAGATAAAGGAAACACGTACCGCGTCCTTGAGTTCGTTTTTTTTTCGTTTGAGGTCTTCTGTTTCACGCTGGAGATGATGTCGCGTGTCCATTCACCCTGGATAGTAATCGAACTTTGGCAGTAGGGCTGGGTTGACTTGTGGGACGTGACAAACGAGCATCTAGATTGATGCCAAGCCAATACTGCGTTCCGAAATCACCCTGTTGTTCTCCAAGTCTCAGGTTTTGACGGAATTTATGCTGTAGGTATCCGACAAAGTCTTGGAGTTTGGACAATGTGGAAGTCTTAAAGGCATCGCATGGATAGGTTCCTGGAGTCACACGCACAGTTATCGAGTCCTCAGGAGCTGGAACCCCAGCCTTCGAGTACCACAACATATGGAGGTCCTCGGTTCGTTCTCACAATACAATCATCGCACCTTACAGTTCGCAGTTCCTAATGACGAGGTTTGCTGATATTTTATCGTAGAATGTGCGTGGTGATCTAATGTGCAGCTCAGTGCTACGATGTAAGTTGCATCTTGGGTTATGCATCGATAGTGGAATCACAAATCACCATACAGATCAGCATGTGTAGCAACAGGGCATGTGTTAACCAGCTTGATACAATACATCCACTGTAAGTTCATAGACGTATGCCCTCGCCATGAGATGCAGATGATAGTCTGTTGAAGTTAGAGGAGACAAAACGAAGATGATGCACTTATAAGATCGTCAAGGGTCATCTTGGCTGCCGCTGTTCCAAGTAACTCGATGGCCAGGAGACTGGCTTGGGCCTTGAAAATATAATGACAGCTCAGCCCTGCTTTGGCTCGGCCTTAGCAGGGCCCTGGGAGAACTCTAGAACTTAGTAGTGTATCATGAACTGTACTTGAAAAAGGAAGATCGACGTAGCTTCTTTGTCACCATTACAAAAAGTGTCTTCGACACATGCCGGTGAAGCTAACGGTATTGCGCATGGGGACTGTAGGCCAAACGCCTTTGATTGGTATCTGGTGTGAAGTGTTAGTATTGATAGAAAACAAAAACAATGAAAGTGCGCACCATCAACGGATGCCTTTGATCAGCATCCAACCGCCTTCAATCAGTACCTGACGCTGGCGTGACGATCACTTGAGCAACATATGAATCATCAGAAAAAAGCAAGTCTGTACAGGACAGCGCCCTAGTGCAAAACACTCACGTGTTACGGAATGAGTTGCAAATCCCAGACCCATCAGATCTTAGATCCATTATGCAGGCGAAGGTGCACCAATCGTTGTTTTGTTAGAGAGGTCAGCACCATGTAATGGCCGCATATTGTGACTTAATGACTGTGACACAGGCACTTCGCAAAGCTCGTCCATGTCTCATGGCCAGAAGACAAACAACTTTTCCTCTACAAACGATGATTTGGACTGCGCTATCTGTATGACCTCACTAAAGGTCTCTGAAGTCTGACGTGAGCGTTGCAACAGTGAGTTCCTCTGCATCTGACGTGGGAGAAAGGGATTTAATTTACACAATGCACAATCGCTGGATTCGTTTCGACTGAACAACTCCAGTGCTTGTGCAGAGAAGGCACTTGAGTGTATACATACGGGCGAGGAGTCAAAGCAGAGCGCGCCAGATTCTAGGAGAGTGGCAGAGAACGAGTTTGAAATGTGGCACTAGTCAATGACGACGAGGATATCGTGATATGCGCGAGGGAAATAGTGCTGCATGTATCGACACCCTCGAATCCTTTGGTAACCGGGTTCGGCGACTGGTAGCACGCTATTTGCGACACGTTTGTCCAACAGCAGGTTTTTAGTTGCAAAAAAATGTATGAGCAGTATACAGTGTAGACGGAGGTGGCGAGGCGTCTGGTATCCGCATCGTAGATAAAGGACGGTTGGAAATATATTAGAGGGAGTGGGTCGAGTAGGTAGAGCACATCAACGAGAATCCGTCGAGAGATGTAAAGGCATGCGAGTCGTGAAGGATGATAAGATCTAATTATAACCGTCCATATATTCAGGAGAGAGACAGCCAAGAAAGAGCCAGAAGCGAGTCCAGAGTCCGGCCTGTCTTATCGTTGCATCTGGGCGCGAAGGTGTTGAAGTTGTAGCTGTCATAGCATCGCCGGCAGTAGGTGTGATGGATGACGAAGACTGTGGTTGCGAAGATGGCTTAGTGACATTGGGCTTGGGAGGCTGTGAGCTGCCTGAAGTAGAGTTCTTTGAGTGCAATGGTTTCGTTTTCGTTTTCTGTTTCTGTTTCGCTAACGCAACCTCCCTCGCTGAAGCGTTTCTCTACGTGATATCAGGTCGAGCTGAACGTCCGAGAAGGAGCAAAAACATACACGTTTGCCCTTCGCATATGGCACCTCGACAGCTGCGGGGCTGCTCCCTTGTAACTCGATGCCTTCACCGCTTTGTCTGCGCAGTTTGAAAAGGTTTCGAGCCCAGTCGAGAGGGGAAGACGGTGACATATCACGGGCACTGGAGGAGCTGCGGTGGAATAAGCGGCCAAGAAGTGTGGTTTCTTGTGGTGCTGAGAACTGAAACCGCGGAGGTCAGGATAATACTCAAAGTGATGGTGATAACATACATGAGAACGATCTGGTGCGACTCCATCGAAAAAACCTGAGGGTGCCCGATAAGCAAGCGGACGTTGCTGGATCGGACGTCGTGCAACATTAGCCTAGAGTATATATGTTGAGTACAATGAGATCTTTTTATGAAGGTGTCACGTACATGGAGTGCAGACTTGTTGGCCTACCAGCAGAGTGTGTTTAGTTGTCGGGATGTAGTGCAACGAGACTATCAACTCACCTTTGAATCTGACAGAAGATCGTCAAGGCCGGCTTCTCTAACAATCGCAGCAACATCCCATGAGTACGTGTTGTTGTCATTGCAGCCAGTTGCTAGTAGCTTTCCACCCGGGGAAAAGGACACGCACTGCACTGGCTGTGCGTGCTGGAGGGGCGAATTGATGGGTTGTCCATTGTCAAGGTTCCACAATCGTGCTGTTTTGTCGTATGATGTACTTGCGAGGATGCGACCATTCGGTGATATTGCAAGGGCCAAGACAACGTTAGTGTGCTCAGCCAGAACCGCGTTTTGCTCCTAGTTGGTTGTATTCCATGTCCTAATGGAGTGATCGTATGACCCGGAGATAAGCGTTTTTCCGTCCTTGGTCCATGCCAGGCAATGCACTTCCCCTGTGTGTCCTTTGAGAGTTGCGACAAGCTTGCCTGTCTTTCTCTCCCAGATTTGAATTGAGTGCTCAGGTTTTCCAAGCAAGAGCTCATTTTGTCCACCAGTCGCAATCCAGGTCATGTCTGGTGAATAGACGACTGCCCGCACTTGATCGTGTCCTGTCTTGATTGATGGTATGGGTTCTCCGCTTTCGTTGTCCCGAGTCTTCCCACTTTCCAGGTCCCATTGCCTTGCAGTCCCATCGTTAGATCCGCTTAACACTCTCCGACCATCTCGACTCCAGCAGACAGACACCACAAAGTTTGTGTGCCCTATCCATTTCGCGATGACCTTGCATGTGTCGATGTCCCACAACCTCACTAGTGACACCATCCACACTCCCGCTAACCACTTTCTTCCCGTCCGGAGACAACGCTATCCTGTATACTTTACTTTCTCCATCTCTCCAGTCTTCTCCTATCTGTTTCCCGCTCTTCAAGTTCCACACTCGCAGCGAGCCATCCAATGAACAAGTGATGATCCGCTGTCCGCCTGGCAGGTGTACGACGCCCCAGACATCGCTAGTGTGTCCTTGAAAGTTCTGGCGAGGTGTTATCGCTGGTGTCTCTTTCGTTTTAGTGCTGGGTAAAGTCATGCTCCAAATTTCCAACTACCAAGTGCAGCGCCATCTCCGAGTCAGCCTATATCCGTCAAATTTCAAAATCATGACTTACGAGGACGTCTCTTTACAGCGTTGGGTGGGCAGCAGGAATTAATGGCTATTTTTGTCAAGTCAGAGTTGAATCCACCGCTTCCCGGTGTGTTTTTACATGCTATATCCTCGTATTCGCTTCACAGCTTATACAGCATATAGGCTGTGCAGCCGAAGCGCCCAAGCATCACAGGGTCACGTTTCGTTTAGCTTCAGTCCATAATTAACTAGTTCTCAACAACCAGGGAAGACGAGAGGCCGTTCCCTACGAACCGTTCTAATGTGTTCCCAATGTCAGCTGCTGTTGATTGCGAGCACGATCATAGGGCCTTTGTCATTCGCGAAAGCCCCCTCCTAATCTTCCCGAATATGCCAGAAGTGTACGCGAGAACAGGACACTTTGAAATGAATATCCTTCGACTGAATACACTCTTCTCCCGGACCTGTCTCGGGAAATGGTATTATTTCCCAGGGAATATTGTTCCTTCTAGGTCGCGCACTGTGTTCTAGCCCTGTTGTGCTCCAACACTGTCTGATGCTAATGTGAAGAGACACAGGCAGGCGAGATAGTCCGCTGATGAGACATGCAAACACCGTAGATTGGCAAGGATCTATCTATCTATCTGGGTGCCAAAAACAAATATGTTCATTCATCAGTGCAATCATCGATGGAACGTGCGAGAAGGTGACCATCAACAGTGGCATTGTGCTTGTGCTTGGTGAGGATACAAATTTTACCGAGTTCTTCTGCTAATATAATATCGGCGACAGCACGAGAGCAGGCCAATGTCGAGGTCTGCTGTCAATCTGCTGGCAATGCGAATATAATCTGTTTGAAAGGGGATTTCAGGTGGATAGGTTCTTCCTACATTGCCACGAAGTTGTGTCAGAACGCATAAAAGCAAGCCGTTTTTCTACCGTTCCCTTCAGATTTATTTGATACCATTTCACACCCTCACAAACAATGCGTTTCTCCATCGTCCTCGCCGTTGTTGCTGCTCTGACAGCATCAGTATCTGCCGATGAAAATTGTCCCGGCCTTTGCAACGAAGTCCAGTGTTGTGCTGGTCAGAACTGCGTGCCGACATGGGTCCAAGAGCTTGTGAGTATCGGCAATTTGCATCCTGGATTGGTTCACATCACTCACCTGCGTGGTAGAATACAGTCGTTGATTATTGTGAGTGATTCACATATTGCGACAGTGAACTACAGTAAGTCGTGTTTCTGCTTTCACATCGGTGTAGTATGGTTGATGGCACGATGCATGAATAGTTCGTTGCAGAGTCGATCGATGTACTTGCTTCTGAATAAATATCACCGCCGCTAGAGCAATGGAGATCTTGAAATAGAGGAACATCTCGAAACGGTTGAATACATATGACTGAAGTACTTACGACACAAATCAAATTTGTATTCTTGCTGTAAGCTTCAAGATAGAACCGCCCTGATCTCCACCAGCGACTCGTGCAATTATCTACGGATGATCAGTTCTCGAATCACATCCGAAAGTCTTTATTTTACAAAGTTTAATATCACTCAACACTTCAACTTTGTCAGATGACGGCACTCGGAAGGCTGATTTCCAGCGCCAAGTCGAGTCGATGGACGTGTAAATCCATGCCAGTATGCGCTCGGAAAGAGACTGGAAGTTGATGACTGTAGATAGAGCGCGAGGATGAGGATGAGTCACGGGACGAATACGAAGATGATGTGACCTATCTTGAAGTCTGATATATCGGCCATCCCAGCTACCGGATGTGATGGTGTAACGAGGCATGACAAGGAGAGCCGAGGATGGGCTAAGCTGTGGGTGGAATAAGTGGTAGAAGAAGACGGGAGGCAAGGATATGGGGAGTGCGTCTGGAGTCCAGGTGAGGGTGAGTGGACCAGCATGAGGTCAACCAGTAAGTCAACAACCGGTGTGCGCACAGTTTGGTATATTCCAATCAATTGTAGTCTCCCATATGTGCGAGCCTTACGAACGACATCAATCACAGTATCCAACGTGTAAACCTGCCTACTCGTTTCAAGAAAATATTACACCTCTCACATCCCCAGAAATTCCCACTCTTGTCCGCTTTGAAAAGAGTAGGTGGAGTGCTGAATTCCTGGAGACGCTCATAGCAACCTACTACTGTAATAAGGCCAGCGTCGAGCACCAAAATACGGTGGTATGAAGAGACACGTCCGAGGTATCATCACATTACGTTCTTTCACTAAGAGTAAACAGGATAAAACACACGAACAATATAAAGTAGCGTACGGCCCTTGAATTTCGTCTGGAAGGTGCGATGGATTTTCTGTCAGTCTTGAGATCAATAGAAGCTCTACAAAGAATTCAACATCGAGCATCCAGGAGAACAGTACACATGCACGTGCGCGTCAAGAAATCTTGCATGCAAAAATGGACTGCGTATTGCATTTTGTTAGTAGAAATAAAAGGCCTGGTGGGCCGTGTCGCTTACATCAAGTAGTTCACTATCTGATTTCCGCAAGTCTGCACAACAGCGACCTTCAGCGTGAAAGAAGGGTAGACATCACAGATGAGTGACAAGGACAGATCTATGACAAGTCAATACATGTGCACGAACGCGAAGTGGACTACTCACCGAAAAGCTCGTCTCCATAATCGAGCAGTTCGTGCTACAACGTTTGCTCGTCACCTCTTAATGCCCCAGTATTCGGTGTTTGAAGGGTGCTATCATTTCGGATGGTAATCCACGTAAGTCATCCGGTGATCTGAAAACGAACAATGAGTACGATAAACACGTCCGGAAGTCTGGAACTTTTTACAAGGTTTTGGTATTGCCAACTATCGGATGATAGGACTCGGACGGCTCACTTCCAGCGTATCTTCAGGTCGCCACTGATGGATATGTAAGTGCCTGCGTGTATGCTGAAGGAAGGAAGTTTGTGATTCTTTCCGCTCGTGACTGTGGATAGAGGTAGAAGATGATGACATGACTCAATACCAAGATCGTATGGATTTGCCCACCTTCAAGCCTGGTATATTGGCTACAGTGACAAGGAGAGTTGAGGATGGGCTGAGTGGCGTGGAATGAGTGATAGGAAAAGACAGGAGTGTGAATGGAGTCGAGGTGAAAGGAAAAGGTCAGCGAAGGTGGCGTGCATTCGAAAGGTCAGAGAAAGAGTCTCAAAATGTTGGGCCAATGGTAGACCGGCACCAACATACAGTACTTCGGTAGAATTCACACGGCACCTCGTCGTCCATATGAACAGGTTGGATGCGACGTCCAGTAGTTTCTGGCAGATGGCGGCAGTCACGACAAACCGAGAACACAGCCGGACCGAACGAGCCGTTTATGTCAGTTCGAACTCCGCGAGGATATGACAACTTACCCAACGCGAGCATGATCAATGTCCAAGGCTCCAATTGCAAGTCGCCAAACCACCGGGATCTCTGATCGAATACTTGAAACGTTCAAGAAGCCTTTCGGGTCAAGTTTCCCAACCCAGGACACAAACACCGTGCAATCCTTCCCCTGATGGAATATACAAAATTCTGCCTCAGGCACCAGTCCCGACTCCCCCACCACCGATGAGCTCGATCCCAGAATCAGCGATCACATCCTCGATAAACCACGTGCCAAGCACATGAAAGAAACTCTTACAGTAGGCCTCGATGAATGAAAGGCAAGCTGAAGGTGATAGGTTACAGGCACTTGATGATCTCGAGATAGTGCGTTCCTCCGATTGTTCCATGATCGAACCGTCCTCATATTCGCTTACCAAGAAATACAGCTAGTTCAGAATATCGATAATGCGAATGGTGATCATACTCGCATGCATTGCTTGATGTGTGATCTGACATATGGCATGACAGAGACCTGGAGAAACTAGGGCTATGGCAACCCCTACACAACCTCCTCCTAGCACACAGTACAAGCTCGACACCCTCAAAATGCAAACCCTGTGGATAATTGGAACCACGCTACAAAACAAGCTCAGCGCTCAACTCGCCGTAAGTCCTCCTCTGAACTTGGATGTGGGTTATGGGCCGGATGGCGATCTTGGTTTGACATACAAAAACCTAGAGCACCATCTGGCCCATGATCCAAACTCAACCCCAATTCAGTTCATCCTAACTAACAGTACTTTGTGTTTCTGTTTTATTTGATAACAGTACCTCGACTTCGATCCCCTCCTCAAATACCTCTCCCCCCCATCAAACTCCCCAAAAACCCGCTAACGAGGCCTATATGCGCTTTATGGGCTCCTGAAACCGAACGCTGCTTCTGTGCAACAGACGAGTTCGGTGGGTGGATGGAGCGCGTTGAGGACGGTGCGTATCCTCCCATAATCCCTGTCCTCTTTTCAGGATGACGACAAGGATGACGACACACTCACATGCGTGACGAATAAACTCAGAAATCCGCGTCCGCAGAAAAACAACGTTCCTCCTCAATACAGTCCTCCCAGTCTCTTCCTCTCAAGTTAACCTCCAACCAATCATAAGCCTCCCCACATCAGAAACCGCACCACCCCAAATCCACACAAATTCCCATGCTTCGATGCTTTCTAATCCGTCGTCCATCTCTATGTCTGCTCTCACGCTCGCTGCGATTCAGGAGGAAGGAGAGGAGGAGTCCTTGTTCTTACTCGATGCGTTGATAACAGCCTTGATCGAACCTGTGCCATTCGGTGTTGATGGGGAGATGGACAAGGATGATGAACTTCCAGAGAATATTGTTAGGTGAGTCCGATCCCTATCCCACTTTTCCTTCCCTTCTTCCTTCCTTTCACTCCCGTATTGGATTGTTGATGCTGGGACGGACTTAGGATTTTGTACACGTTCGCAACAAGCTGCAATGGCGTTTTTTCAGCTGTCCAGAAACGAAGTCTTTTGGGTTCTTGGGAGGGATTGGAGCGACACAAGGAGAGGGAAATTTGAATTTTGGATTGGCGAGTGGGGAATGGGAGGAGTTGAGTGGGACTGTGAGGTTGTAGTGCGATGCGTGCGATGGGGGATCGTACTTGGGGTGAAATGGCATTTGATTTGATTTTGTTTAACACCACATCACACTACTAATGTTAGTGAATACTGATATCGGACGATCGTTCGTTGGTCAGAATGTGCGTAGCCGTGACTTGCATGATGTATGGGTAGTACACATTAATAATGCAGACAGAAATGACAAGGCATGTGGTATCTGTATAGTACATAAAGAACGGTTCGAACTACATCAGAGGGGAGTGGACGAGTAGGTAGAGCATATCAACGACAGTCCGTCGAGAGATGTAAAGGCATGCAACTCGCGAACGAAGATCTAATGATGGCCGTCCGTATATTCAGGAGAGAGACCAAACAATGAAGAGCCGGAAACGAGTCCAGAGTCCAGCCTGTCTTATCGTTGCATCTGGGCGTGACGGCGATGTTGAACTTGTAGCTGTAGTAGGATCACCGGCGGCAGGTGTGGTGGATGACGAAGACTGTGGTTGCGAAGATGGTTCGGCGACATCGGACTTGGGAGGCTGTGAGTTGCCCGCAGTAGAGTTCTTCGAGGGTAATGGTTTCATTTTCTGTTGTCGCTGTTTCGCCAACGCAGCATCCCTCGCTGAAAGCGTTTCTCTACGTTACATCAGGTTGAGTTGAACGTCCGAGAAACAGAAATAACATACACGTTTGCCCTGAGCATATGGGACCTCAACAGCTGCGGAGCTGCGCCCTTGCAACTCGATTTCTTCGCCACTTTGTCCGCGCCGTTTGAAAAGGTTTCGAACCCAGTCGAGAGGGGAGGACGGTGATGTACCCTGGCACTGGAGGGGCTGCGGTGAAATAAGCGACGAAGAAGTGTGGTTTCTTGTGGTGCTGAGGACTGAAACCGCGGAGGTCAAAATAATACTCAGAGTGATAGTGATGACGTACATGAGCTGGTGGTACTCCATCAAAAAAACCATGGGGTACCTGATAAGCAAGCGGACGTTGCTGGATGGGACGTCGTGTAGCATTAGCCTAAAATATGTATGTTGAGCACGACGAGATCTTTGAATGAAGCTGTTACGTACATGGAGTGGCGACTTGCTGGCCTGGCAGAGTGCGTTCAGTTGTGAGAATGAAATGAATGAAACATGCCTGTCAACTCACCTTTAAATCCGACAGGAGTTCGTCGAGGCCGGCTTCTCTGACAATTGCAGCAACATCCCATGAGTACGCGTTTTTGTCACCGCAACCGGTGACTAGTAGCTTTCCACCCGCGGAAAAGGACACACACTGCACTGGCTGTAGGTGTTGGAGGGGTGAATTGATGGGTTTTCCATTGTCGAGGTTCCACAATCGTGCTGTCTTGTCGGATGATGCACTTGCGAGGATGCGACCATTCGGTGATATTGCAAGGGCCAAGACAAGCTTGGAAGTATGGTCATCCAGAACCGCGGTTTGCTCCCATTTGGTTGTATTCCATGTCCTAATCGAGTGATCGTATGACCCGTAAATAAGCGTTTTTCCGTCCTTGGTCCAAACCAAGCAATGCACTGAGGTTGTGTGTCCTTTGAGAGTTGTAACAAGCTTGCCTGTCTTTGTGTCCCAGATTTGAATTGCAGCGCGTTCTCCACCCGAGGGTCCATCTCGTCCACCAGTCGCAATCAAGGTCATGTCTGGTGAATAGACGACTGCCCACACTTGATCGTGTCCTGTCTTGATCGATGCAAGTATGGTTTCTTCTCCGCTTTCCTCGTCCTGTGTCTCCCCACTTTCCACGTTCCATTGCCTTGCAGTCCCATCGTTAGATCCGCTTAACACTCTCCGACCATCTCGACTCCAGTAGACGGACACCACTTCCTTTGTGTGCCCTATCCATTTCGTGATGACCTTGCATGTGTCGATGTCCCACAACCTCACTGCACCATCCACACTCCCGCTAACTACTTTCTTCCGTCCGGAGACAACGCTATCCTGTACACTTTACTTTCTCCGTCTCTCCAGTCTTCTCCTATCTGATTCCCACTCTTCAAGTTCCACACTCGCAGCGAGCCATCCAATGAACAAGTGATGATCCGCTGTCCGCCTGGCACGTGTGTGACGCCCCAGACTTCATCACTGTGCCCTTCAAATTTCTGGCGAGGTGTTTTTGCTGATATCTCTTTCGTTTTAGTGGTGGGTGAAGCCATACTCCAGAATTCCTACTACGGAGTACAGCGCCATCTCAGCTTTCATCCATCAAATTTCAAAATCATCACTTACAAAGACGACAACGATAGGCGGACAGGAGGGCACAACGGACGTTTTGGTCAAGTTAGAGTTGAATCTACTGTCTCTTGGTACGTTGTACATGCTTTATCCTCGTGTTCGCTTCACAGCTTATACACAGCATAGGCTGTGCGACTGAAGCGCCCAAGAATCATCTGCCTCAGGTCACAACCGGTGACTCTCTCAGTCGACATTTCCAATATACGACGTGCTCATCACATCCGTTTGCTCCAGTTCCTGCGTTGAGGTCTAATTTCTTTATTTCGTCATAACATTTCTGCCTCTGTCGTTTACCATACCCGTAACCTAGAATTTTCATTTTCTCCGTTCAAATCCCACAGGTACGTCTGTACATCTGTCACTCGCTCATATGTCTACTTTGAAAATATACGCTGATAATACCTATAGCGTCCTCTTTCCTGACGACCGGACGGAGATAGGTGTGCACGTGGCCCCCGGAGATTACTGGTACTCGCGTCCTCGGTAAACCAGATGCACAACTCACGGAAGAGACTCTTACACTAGGCCTGGATGAAAGGCAAGCCGAAGATGATAGATTACAGGCACTTGATTATCTCAACATGGTGCATCCCGTCTCGTCCTATGATTGAACCTTGTGTGTCTTACAGTTTCTTGCTATGAAATATAGCTAATTCAAAATATCGATAATACGAATGGTGATTATACTCCCGATTGATGCGCGATCTCACAAATGGTACGACACAGGCTTGAAGAAACTAGGGCTATGAAACCCCTACACAACCTCCTCCTAGTATCCAGTATGAACGACACTCCCGAAATGCAAACTCTTCGGATAATCGGAACCGCGCTATGAAACATCCCAGCTGCTCAGCTCGCCGTGAGTCCTCTTTCAATGCATCCTCTTCCTACCATGTATCCAATCTACATCCAATTTCGCATGGCCTCGATTCAATTCACCCTAACTAACTGTACTTTGTGGTCATATTCTGTTTTATATCAGTATCTCGACCTCGACCCACTCCCCACACTCCTCCTCAAATCCCTCTCCCCCTCTTCAAACTCCGCCGAAACCCGCTCACAAGCCCTATACGCGCTTTCTGGTCTACTGAAACTGAACGCCGCTGCTGTGCAAATGATTGGTATGGTGGGTGGATGGAGCGCATTGATGATTTGTCTGGAATGTGCGTATTGTCCCACAGCCCCTACCCTCTTTCTATGCTCACAAACCTCACATTCACACACGCGACGAACACTACAGACTCGGAAATTTGCGTCCGCAAACAAACAACGTTCCTGCTCAACACACTCCTCCCAACCTCCTCCTCTCAAGTTAACCTCCAACCAAACATAAGCCTCTCAACCTCGTAAACCGCACCACCCCCAATCCACGCGAATTCCCATGCCTCGATGTTCTCTGATCCGTCGTCCGTCTCTACGTCTGCTCTCACGCTCGGTACCGTTCAGGAGGAGGGAGAGGAGGTGGGTCTTTGTCCTTGCTCAATGCGTTGATATCAGCCTTGATCGAACCTGTCCCGTTCGGTGTTGAAGGCGAGATGGACAAGGATATGTCGTCAAGTACCTTAGGTGAGTCTTATCCCTTCCCACCTTCCATTCCCGTATGAGATTGGATTGGGTTGTTGGTGTTGAGATGGAACTAGGATTTTGGTACACATTCGCGACGAGCTGCGACGGCGCATTTTCAGATGTGCAGAAACGCAGTCTTTTGGGGTTCCTAGGTGGGATTAGAGGACGCAAGGAGAGAAGTTGAATTTTGGATTCTGGGAGAAGTTGAGTGGGGCTGTGAGGTCGTAGTGCGGTGCGTGCGGTAGGGGGTTGTGATGCGATGCAGTAAGAGATCGTAGTGCATACGGTAGGGAATCCTGATCTGATGTGATACAGTAGGGTGGAATGGAATGGCATTGACAACGACATTTTAGAATCAGCCCTTATAACACGTGCAGTGCGTGAGACAACAAAGGTGTATCAATTTGGTAAACAACGGAGTCGGGGACTGGTGCTCGCCGCCGCTACGATTACATAGTACGAGTGAGGACTTGTCACAATCCCGTGGGTACTTCAGCAGTCAGGCACACCAGCAAACACAAAATCATACACGAAAGAAGGAATCAAGTGCTAGGACTTCTCGTCCGTGATCCATGGTTCATCCGACGATAAATCCACAGCAGGCAAACTTCCCCGAAGATCTGATATTTCTTCTGCGCTGATGTTGTATGATTGTAGTAGCTCAACAAATTGATCCAACGAATCGCGGTTTGCGCGTTGTCGGAAGGTTAATTGCTTGTTGTACTCCTGAATCCGATTATGGACTTTTCCACTCATTCGTGACTCGTGGTAGGACTTGACTGCAAGCTTGATGGCTCTACGAGACAGTTCCTGGTTTTCCGACAGGAGATACAGCGTCTGCAACACAAGAGTCAAGTCGATGATGTATTTCATGAAGCGCTGGAGCGCCGGACGGCTGAGAAGAGACTTGACGTTATTCTCTCGATGAAGGATAAGTAGCAGGACGTACGCCTCCTGATACACCTCGTAGACCCAACTTGCGACCACAACGCCTGCCGCTATCGGCACTACGATGGGGGCTGCAGGTCCGGACAGGGCAGATACGATACCCGCAATGGCACCCACAATAGTGAGCCCAAATGCACTGCGAACATTGGATGAGATGAAATTCATTTGTCGCATGAAAGACTGCCTTACAGGTTCTTGTTGGGATTGGCAGTAGGTCCAACGTCTAGCTCATCGACCATGTTCGTCATCAGTGTCCTGAACTCTGGGCTGCATAAATACTGCGTAAGCCACGTCAGAATATGCAACAACGAATAAAGAGAGCTATTACATCATTAGGGTCTCGGAAGTTCCACACATTGACGATGTCGGTGTGAAGCACGTGCAGACAGTCCCACATCGAATGCTTCTTGAATGGTACGCTTGATGCAAGCGCCTTCCAGTATTCTGAAAGACAGACGTGAAGGCTCAGATCATGTTCAGTAATTTTGAATGCAAAATCGAGACAGACTTCTCTTGCCAACCCTGACACTGCGTAAATCACAAGATAAGAAGAATGAAACAAGCGAGGCTCACTCTATAGATGCCTTTATGTTGAGTCCAGGATCCACTCGCTGAGCGACGGACGTCATGACCGACGCGTCGGCCCCAACATGCTTGCAAACGAGTTCTTCAGTGGTTTGGATCAAACGGGCCAGCGTCTCTTTATGGTTTCCATTTGCTGCGCTCAGAATTTACTAAGAACGCAAATGATAATCACAGCAGCGACACCCACTGGAGACCGTAACATGCGGGATATCCGATTTTGCAAATTTCTCTAGGGGTGCGATGCAGACTTCCTGTATCTTGTCTTCTGCGCTATTCTTGATGAGTTCCTTGATGGCCTCCTCGCTCAAACCCTCGAAAGAGGACTTGTCCATAGTTCGCTCTACGTGGACGAGGAGGGTGTCGTATTTAGTGAGAACGGTAATAATGGGAACTTTGACCTGCGTTAGCTATGACCTGTGCGGAGCGGTAGCAATCCATTGACATACTATTTCCCAGCTTTCCCTCGCGCTTCGATGTGAGAAATTGCTCCACGCCGGTCTCTAATAAACGCCCGCCTGTACAGGGTATTTCAAAGCAAAGCCTTGTATGTCGTCAGTTTGCCGTACAAACGCACTAAGACGGAGGCCCTACCAAACGGCGTGCAGCTGATTTTTCAAATCAGGCATCACTTCCCGACGGTTAATGAAATCTTGGACTATTTTGAGGTTGTCTTCTTCCCCTGGTTCAAAACCCTTGCTATCGTGAAGAACAAACTTGTTGTTCTGTGGTGAGATAAACTCGTAGTCGATGTTGACCTCGCCTGGCTTATCGTGTGAAGCGGTCTATTGACGGTATGAGGAGCTATGCTTGTTGAAGTGTCATGCTCAACCTACCGCGTTTTGCACTCCAAATGCGTGGTTGATCAGCGAAGACTTGCCAACGCCAGTCTATTGGAAGTACCGTGTTAACACCGGCCTGGGATCAGCGAAAGCCTGGTACCTTTCCTATAACTAGAATTCGGAACCTTTGAAGCCTCTGGTGTCAACTTAAAGAATGGCATTTCGCGGTGATCCAGACTCACTGAGGACACTTCCGAAATATTTCGTCGGTGGTAGGCCGGAGCTCCGTGGTTTCGTCGGAAGAAGAGACAAGTTGCTCAGACTGCTAGTCTATGACTTAGATTTCTTTTAATGGGAGACATGGAATCTTACTTCGGCTGTTGGATTCCCGGAAAGTTCGACGACGATCGTGATGTTTTTATGGACCTTGTTATATTCTGTGCATGTGAGGTTGAATCTATGAGTGATCATTACGAGAGCGCGATTATTATTGTTTCACCTCGTCTTTCTCCTGTACTACACTCGCGGAACATGTCTTCCGGTTCGAAAGTAATGTCTTCATGCTTTGTCTTCATCCCAAGCCATTTCGTGGACCGCACATGCAAGGAAAATGTATCCCCACGAGAAAGCTTCCTGTGATAGAACACAATAGCACATCAGGTGGGTACATTCGTTAGGGTCGAGTCCCTACATGGGTGGAGAGAACGTCTGTCGTAAGACCTTTTTCTGCCCCACTTTTGATTGGGGTGGGCGAATTCCGTACTTCAACAGACTCCACATTCTTTTTCGAGTTGCTGAAATCAACGCTGACACCTATTGGATATACTATTTCAGTGGGATTGAGAATTTCGTTGATGAAGTAACTTGTACCAGATATATAGAGAGGGCGAACCGGCGTTGGAGCGTCAAGAGAACTAGCCATGGTGGATGTTAAGGAAGACTCTTCTTCGTGACGGTGGATTTATCTGGAGGCCGAAGGGAGGCCCATCCCTCGTGTCGCACCAAGGCTAGCTATTCTTAGTTAAACAGAGTTCATGGTACCCTGTTATCATTCGGGCCTTACTTGGTTCCTTTGAACAACTTCAAACCCTGAGCAGAAAAAGTCCGGACGTACGGCATTCACAATGAAAAGACCCCCAGAGACCAACCAGAGACATGGTGTAACTTAGCTAAGACTATCGTCCCTTAACTGTTACGCCAAAAGGCAATGATACTGAAAGCTTGTGCTTTAGTATCGCAGACAGTATATTCTAATCAACATATTTCGAGCCTACGGAAAGTCATCCACTACGAGTCTGGGGGTCTTGTATGTTCAGGATTATGTAAAGGTTTTCGAACCGAGTAACTTAAACTCCGAATGATAAATCGATAACAGGTTACAGGGTACCAGAAACCGAGTTAGGTACTACTAGTACTACCCAAATTAATAGTATACTGACTGCCTTGATTGATTGCTGCGATGGTCTCCGCATTGCCCACTCTTACGGATTCTTGCCATGACCCAACATAGACATTGAATATTGAGTCATCACTTCCGAATGATCAAAGCTACACTGACGCCAACTCCTCGTGTATGCCTCATGCAGTATATAGCTCCATCATCTTTAGGTATAGTACTACCCTTTACCCACGGACCCTGTGACCTGGGTCGGATCGAGATACTGACTGCCTCGATCGATGCGGCTAGTATTTAGGTGCTTGGACGGTCGTCAGCGTTGCCCACTCTTACGGATCCTTGTGACCCAACACAGATACTCCGTCACTTCCGAATGATCAAAGCCACGCTGACGTTTGACTCCTCGTGTATGCCCCATGTGGTATACAGTTCCATATACCCATTGCCCACTGAATCTAGATGGGCTGATTTCAAGTTGGGCATTCACCGAGTTCACACACTGTAATAATTATAAGGCTACACCAATTGCAACGCTTTTCCTTCACATTCGCCTTCCCCATGGATCCCTCAAAGATAAGAGAGAAAATCGGTCGCTTTCGAATCCTCGTTATAGGGAGAGCGAATGCAGGAAAAACTACCATCCTTCAGAGAGTTTGTAACACACGGGACAACCCAGAAATATACAACAGCGCTGGGGAAAAGGTGGGCATCACAATGCTAGCAGGAGGATGGTAGTGATGACTGAGCGATGAATATCAGATCGATGCCACAATTTTGATGGCTTCAACAGAGGTGGCGTGTACTTCTAATAGTTGGTAACATGAACTGACACGTTCTCAGCGTGGAGAGCATGATATCGAGCATGAAATGGTGTTTCAAAGTAACCCAGGCTTCGTCTTTCACGATTCATGCGGGTTCGAAGCAGGCGGCGAATCCGAATTCGGCAATGTGAAGGCATTTATTGCGCGCCGTTCTAAGGAGGTCAGATTAACGAATCAACTCCATGCTATCTGGTAATTGCAACTGATCAATCGCGACATGCGCTATCTCACGGTTTCAAAATAGGTATTGCATTCCAATGGACGAGGCAAGCAGGTCGTTCACCAAAGGCGAAATCAAATTTTTCTCTTGCAACACGGGAAGTAGTAAGGTTTCTCATCTGACTATTGATGATGTCCGACTGATGCACAAAATCGCAATTCTCAGTTCCAGTGATAGTATTGTTTACTAAATTCGATGCCCTCTACAACACCGCATATGCAGAGCTGAAATCAGAGGGAGCATCGAGGAAGCAGGCTGAAGAACTGGCGCCGCAGCGCGCGGAGGAGTCATTTGCGATTGGGTCACAATTGCAGTTTCTATACCACTCCAAGGACATTCGACGCCCTCCAAAATGTCATGTATGCCTCGCTAGTAAGTTGTTAATGGTGGACTTATGATTTCGATACATGATAACACTGATCCGTTAGGCATGGACAAGGATGATGCAGATTGCGGGTCTCTCATCGAATGCACAGCTGCAACTCTGGATGATGAAATGCTGAAGCAATTATTCGTCTCGACCCAGCAGACCAACTTGGAGCTCTGCATGAAATATGCGGTTGAGAGGTAACTACACATAGTCTCGTTTACCTGCCATGAGCATTAGCGACTGATTGTGTCCAGAATACTCCCGGAATTTTTGGACTCTGAGACACCAGCATCTAAGGGTCATGAGGAGATAATAGGGAGATTGGCTGCCTGGTTTCCACATATTGTGGTAAGATTATCGGAAAGTTCAAAGGTTGCTCTCATTTTAAATACCTTGGGGGTTTACTTGCAGGCAGTACGTCTGTTAATCCTCCTTTGAGCTCAAGCTATGCTGATCGAAGTGGTTGCCCACTGTTTACAGGTTGTGAGTGTATCAATCCTCCTTTGAGCTCAAGCTGTGTTGATCGAAGTCGTTGCCCACCATTCGCAGTATGTGAGTGTATCAATCCTTCTTGGAGCTGAAGCCATGCTGATCGAAGTCGTTGCCCACCGTTTAGCAGTATGTGAGTGTGTCGATCCTCCTTGGAGCTCGAGCCATGCTGATCGAAGTCGTTACCCATTATTCCCAGGAAGTGAGTGTGTCGGTCCTCCTTCGAGCTCGAGCCATGCTGATCGAGGTCGTTCGCAGGGTGTGAGTATGTCGATCTTCCTTGGAGCTCAAACCATGCTGATGGAAGTTGTTGCCCACCGTTTGCAGTATGTGAGTGTTGTCGATTTCCTTCGAGCTCGAGCCATGCTGATCGAAGTCGTTCCCCACCGTTCGCAGGTTGTGAGTGTGTCGACCATCATTTGAGCTCGAGCTATGCTGATCGAAGTCGTTGCCCACCGTTCCTAGGAAGTGAGTGTGTCGATCCTCCCTCGAGTTCGAGCCATGCTGATCAAACTCGTTGCCCACCGTTCGCAGTATGTGAGTGTGCCGATCCTCCTTGGTGCTCGAGTCATGCTGATCAAAGTCGTTGGCCACCGTTCCCAGGAAGTGAGTGTGTCGGTCCTCCTTCGAGCTCGGGTCACGCTGATCGAAGTCGTTCCCCACCTTTCCCAGGAAGTGAGTGTGTCGACCTCCTTCAAGCTCGAGACATGCTGATTGAAGTCGTTGCCTACCGTTCGCAGGGTGTGAGTGTGTCGGCCCTCCTTGGAGCTCGAGCCATGCTGATCGAAGTTGTTGACCGCCGTTCGCAGGAAGTGAGTCTGTCGATCCTCCCTCGACCTCGAGTCATGCTGATCGAAGTCGTTGCCCGCCGTTCGCAGGGTGTGAGTGTGTCCATCCTCCTCGACACTCAAGCCATGCTGATGGAAGTTGTTACCCACCGTTTGCAGCATGTGAGTTTGTCGATTTCCTTCGAGCTCGAGCCATGCTGATCGAAGTCGTTCCCCACCTTTCCCAGGAAGTGAGTGTGTCGACCTCCTTCAAGCTCGAGACATGCTGATCGAAGTCGTTGCCCACCGTTCGCAGGGTGTGAGTGTGTCGGCCCTCCTTGGAGCTCGAGCCATGCTGATAGAAGTTGCTGCCCGCCGTTCGCAGGAAGTGAGTCTGTCGATCCTCCCTCGAGCTCGAGCCATGCTGATCGAATTCATTTCCCATCGTTCGCAGGAAGTGAGTGTGTCGATACTCCTTCGACCTCGAGACATGCTGATCGAAGTCGTTGCCCACCGTTCGCAGGTTGTAAGTGTGTCGATCCTCCTTCGAGCTAGACCCATGCTGATCGAAGTCATTGCCCACCGTTCGCAGTATGTGAGTGTGTCGATCCTCCTTCGAGCACGAGCCATGCTGATCGAAGTCGTTGCCCATCCATTAATAGTGGGTGAGTGTGTCTAACCTCCTTCGAGCACGAACCATGCTGATCGAGGTCGTTGCCCATCGTTTCCAGGATGTGAGTGTGTCGATCCTCGGAGCTTGAGCCATGCTGATCGAAGTCGTTGCCCACCGTTTCCAGCGTGTGAGTGTGTTGATGCTTCTTCAAGTTCAAGCCATGCTGATCAAAGTCGTTGCCCACTGTTTACAGGTCGTGAGTGTATCGATCCTCCTTCGAGCTCGAGCCATGCTGATCGAAGCTGTTGCCCATCGTTCGCAGTATGTGAGTATCTCGATCCCCCTTGGAGCTCGAGCCATACTGATCGAAGTCGTTGTCCACCGTTCGCAGGCAGTGAGTGTCAACCTCCTTCGAGCTTGAGCCATGCTGATCGGAGTCGTTGCTCACTGTTCCCAGGTTGTGAGTGTGTCCATCCTCCTTGGAGCTCGAGCCATGCTGATCCAAGTCGTTGCACAACGTTCCCAGCATGTGAGTCTGTCGATAGTTCTTCAAGCTCGAGCTATGCTGAACGAAGTCGTTGCCCACCGTTCGCAGGTTGTGAGTGTATCGGTCCTCCTTCAAGCTCGAGCCATGCTGATCGAATTGGTTTCCCACCGGTCGCAGGGTGTGAGTGTGTCGATGCTCCTTAAAGCTCGAGCCATGCTGATCGAGGTCGTTGCCCACCGTTCCCAGGAAGTGAGTGTGTCGGTCCTCCTTCGAGCTCGAGCCATGCTGATCGAAGTTGTTGCCCGCCGTTCGCAGGGTGTGAGTGTGTCCATCCTCCTTCGAGCTCCAGCCATGCTGATCGAAACCGTTTGCAGCATGTGAGTCTGTCGATCCTCCTTGGAGCTCGAGTCATGCTGAATTGAAGTCGTTGGCCCCCGTTCGCAGGGTGTGAGTGTGTCTATCCTCCTTGGAGCTCGAGACATGCTGATCGAAGTCGTTGCCCGCCGTTCGCAGGTTGTGAGTGTGTCGATTTCCTTGGAGCTCGAGCCAAGCTGATCGAAGTTGTTGCTCACCGTTCGCAGTATGTGAGTGTGTCGATCCTGCTTCGAGCTCGAGTCATGCTGATCGAAATCGTTGCCCACTGTTCACAGGTTGTGAGTTTGTCGATCCTCCTTGGAGCTCGAGCCATGCTGATTGAAGTCGCTGCCCACCGTTCCCAGCATGTGAGTGTGTCGATCCTCCTTCAAGCTCGAGTCATGCTGATCCAAGTCGTTGCCCGCCATTCGCAGGGTGTGAGTGTGTCGATTCTCCTTGGCACTCGAGCCATGCTGATCCAGGTCGTTGCCCACCTTTTGCAGGGTGTGAGTGTGTCAATCCTCCTTGGAACTTGAGTCATGCTGATCAAATTCGTTGCGCGCCGTTTGCAGGGTGTGAGTGTGTCGATCATCCCTCGGGCTAGACCCATGCTGATCGAAGTCGTTGCCCACTGTTCCCAGCGTGTGAGTGTGTCGATCCTCCCTCGAGCTCGAGCCATGCTGATCGAAGTCGTTGCCCACCGTTCGCAGTATGTGAGTATCTCGATCCTCCCTCGATCTCGAGTCATGCTGATTAAATCATTGTCCATTGTTCGCAGACTGTGCGTGTGTTGATCCTCCCTCGAGTTCAAGCCATGGTGATCGAAGTCGTTGCCCACCGTTCCCAGGAAGTCAGTGTGTCGACCCTCCTTCGAGCACGAGCCATGCTGATCGAAGTCGTTCCCTACCCTTCCCAGTATGTGAGTGTGTTGGTTCTCCTTCTAGCTCGGGCCATGCTAATCAAAATCGTTGCCCACCGTTCACAGTATGTGAGTGTGTCGATCTTCCTTGGAGCTCGAGCCATGCTGATCGAAGTCGTTGCCCGCCGTTCGCAGGGTGTGAGTGTGTCCATCCTCCTAGGAACTCCAGCCATGCTGATCGAATTCGTTGTCCACTGTTCGCAGGGTGTGAGTTTATCGATCCTCCTTGGAGCTCGAGCCATGCTGATCGAAGTCGTTGCCCACCGTTTGCAGGGTGTGAGTGTGTCGATTTCCTTGGAGCTCGAGCCAAGCTGATCGAAGTTGTTACTCACCGTTCGCAGTATGTGAGTGTGTCGATCCTCCTTCCAGCTCGAGCCATGCTGATTGAAGTCGTTGCCCACCGTTCGCAGGAAGTGAGTGTGCCGATCCTCCTTGGTGCTCGAGCTATGCTGATCGAAGTCGTTGCCCGTGGTTCGTAGCGTGTGAGTGTCGGTCCTCCTTTGAGCTCGAGCCATGCTGATCGAAATCAATGCCCACCATTCGCAGGGGGTGAGTGTATCGATCCTCCTTGTAGCTCGAGCCATGCTGATCGAGGTCGTTGCCTACCGTTTCTAGCAAGTGAGTGTGTCGATCCTCCTTGGAGCTCGAGCCATACTGATCGAACTCGTTGCTCACCGTTCGCAGGTTGTGAGTGTGTCGATCCGCCTTGGAGCTCGAGTCATGCTGATCGAAGTCGTTGCCCACCGTTCGCAGGGTGTGAGTGTGTCGATCCGCCTTCGAGCTCGAGCAACTGACCAACGAAATAATCGATCCCCTGACAGCTTGTGAGTGTGATCATCCTCTGTCCACCTGCTGCCTTCCTCACCGATGCAATCACTGACCCCTTGTCAGGATGTGAGTGTATTGATTCTCTGTCGACCTCCTGCCTTCCTCACTGATGTATTCACTGATCCCTTGTTAGGATGTGAGTGTATTGATTTTCTGTCACCCTCGCGCCATACTACCCGAAATCATTGCCGCTTCAATTGACAGATGGTTAGTTGGTCGATCCATCATCGGGCTCGAGCCATACTCACTGACGACATCGCCCATCCGTTTATAGCGCGTAAGTCCATCGATCCGCAGTCGAATTGGAGCATCACTGATCAATGAAATTGCCGATCCTCATGGACAGTTCGTGAGTTTGTTGATCTGCTGTTGAGCTCGAGCATTGCTAATCCACGACATGGCTGATCCATCGACAGATGGCGAGTCTCTCTACCTCCTATTGAGCTTTAGCCTTGCTCACTGATATCATTGCTCAACCACCGACAGAATGTCAGTGCGCTGATCCTCCGTCGAGCTCGAGCTTTGCTTACGTCTGAAACCGGATCTCCCTCAATAGAAAGTGAGTGTTTCATCCTGGAGCCTTGCTCATGAACGACATCGGTGATCCATCAATAGGAGGTTAGCTTCTTCATCCTTCTTTGATTTCGGACCATGCTGACCGAAGAGTTACATATTGGCAGAAAGTGAGTGTATCGATCCTCAGCAAAGGCAGATGATATTTAACTTTCGATCGTGATTTAACCCAGCTTTATCGCGCTGATCGAGCAGCCATGGGGTCTAAGTTACTCTCAGTGGTATGTCCAACTGTTCACAGATTATACCCATGTTCCTCATGTTGCGAATGTGCCAGGGCTCTCACTCGTCACCCTTGGGGAACATTGTTCAGCTCAGTTCTGGTGAATTTTGAGGCTACGTTGTGATGAATCTGCTTATTATTGATCACCTAGCTGCTATCATTATCTTGGAACACTCTTTCTACATTTTCGACACACGGCGCTATCTTCGGGACCAGCAAGAGTCTGTTCCCTCTTGTCTTGTCGCTCTCGAGCAGTACATGGCATCTCCGCATGCGGGTGCTGTCAGGGAAGGCGTGAGCGCTGCTGTCCAGGCATATAAAGAAGCTGTGGCTACTGCCGCCCGCGCATATGAAGAAGCTGTGGCTACTGCCGCCCGCGCATATGAAGAAGCTGAGACTACTGCCGCCCGCGCATACGAAGAAGCTGTGACTACTGCCGCCCATGCATTTGAAGAAGCTGTGAGGACCTTGCCTGCTTGGATCGCAAAGTTACCGTTTGAACGCCTCCAGAGGAAGGCAAAAGAAGCTTTTGAACGCTCTAAGGAGAAGGAGAAAGAAGCCTTTGAACGCTCTAAGAAGATGGAGAGAGTGACTTTTGAACGCTCTAAGAAGATGGAGACAGAAGCTTTCAAACGCTCTAAGGAGGAGGAGAAAAAATATTTGGGCTCTCAGGCGAAGGCGGAGTTGATTAAGACTCTTCTTGAAATCACTTTAAATCATCGCCTGCGTATGTTTCACCCTCATGTTGTGACAGCAATCTCACTGATCCGCTTGTCTTCAGCAAGACCTTAATGTTGGGCAATGCAACCCAACATCAACGATGTTCTGGTTCGGAGGGAAGCTGAGGCATCTCGGCTGCGAATGCAGGTTGCTTGAAAGGTCTGTCGAGGTAGATTCAGGATGTGGAACTGTACGAAATGGTTGTAAGGTCACGCAATATGGTACTTGGTCTGGTATGGCGTATACGTGTTTGGGGAATGTCGGTCACCTTCAGTCGAGACAGTGGCGAGAGGTACTGCGCTTGATGTACCTCCAAAGTATCCGTGGTCCGATTTCAAGCACATCAAGGTTGGGTATGTTGTGCTCCACAACTTGTCTCAACTTGCGTGACTTTTCTAAAGATATCCCATTTCATTCAAACCGTACACTAGGTACATAGACGCATTCAATTAAAGGTTCCTGACAACGCCAGTGACTCCTGATGGATAAGATTGTAAGTAGTTAAGACTGTCGTCCCTTAACAGTTACGCCCAGACCGTTAGGCCAAAAGGCAGTGATAATCAAAGCTCCAGCTTGATTATCTCGGACAGTATTTATGTTGATTATGGGAACTCAGGTAAGCAACGAGCTTACAAAGATCTTTGAAAAGACCTGGCCGCGAGCGGAAGCTACTGTATCATTTCGACCTTAGGTTCGTCACACCGTCACAAGCTCGACGAACCAAACCTATTTTCACCTGGGTTTCCCAATAAGTAAGCCTTACTATAATAGTCTATTATGTGTTGTACCTACTATTGTTAGGCTTCGTTGTACTAATACTCAACACCAGCGTTATATACTGTCCCAAATACTCCAGGACTCCTGCTATTTGGTGTACACTGCCAGTAAGCAGCTTGGCACTGTCCGCCCGCCTATACTATCCAAATGTGTCATCCCGACGCGCCCCGCTATGCGCCTAACCTTCCGAAATCGGCAAGGTACTGCTCCCACGCCCCTTGCCCTTCTCCACCACCACCACCACCGCCGTCTACCACCCCGCCATAGGCATCGACGATGCCTTCTACACTTTTAGCTACCACCACTACGTGGCACCGTCTGCTTAGCCACACTCTACTGTTCTGGACGCCAGCCTCGTCTCTTGAGGATGTCACCACCAACCTCCTCATCTCTCAAGGACGCTACCACCAGCCTCGTCTTGAGGATGCTACCACCAGCCTCGTCTCTTGAGGATGCCACCACCATCCTCGTCTCTCTAAGACACCACCACCAGCCTCGTCTCTTGAGGATGCTACCACCAACATTTTTACTATCCATGCCATGGGCATCAGCAAAGCGTATTACAGGGTTGTCGAAGTCCACTGTCAAACATGGCTTCCGACGCTCAGTTTGAATGGTTGAAGTACTAAGGGCAGGGCAGCAAAACCAACGCAGGGAGGATGCTAATTCAAAGTGACAATCCTGCATACAAGGTATCATAACTATATTCCTCCATGACATCCTTCTCAAGCTCTGCAGAGATGTCGGTTGAGGACTGCGAGGCTGTCGAGACGATGCTAGTTGATCTCGATGTTGATATTGAATACCTACCATATACTGCTCCTCCTGGTGAGGAGGGAGCTGACCTTAGTCATGAAGGCAGGGAGTACGAAGCCTTTGAAGGACTATCTCAGCAGATCGCTGACATCTCTGGCTTGTAATTATTATTTTTTCATGCCTGCTAGTATGAACGTGCTGATGTATGTTAGCCGCTATGTGGATCCGCGCACACGCAGGGACCGCATTGATGTCCAGACTGCCAATTGGAATCTTCAGATGGAACATCTCGTCAGTGCTTATTTGGACTATCGCACACAGGATTGTGGTGACGGCATGCTGTATATTTCAAATGAAGATGAACTGATGTGTAATGACGCTGACAATTTATCTCTTCAGAATATCAAGCTCGTCGACATATTCAGTAAGTCATTTCTTTTTACTTTAAGACATTCACATTCACTGATCTACAGGTCGAAAACATGTTTCTCTGCGCCTTCAAACGTTCCACAAGTTTCCAAACGAGAGTCTTATCTATCATGGATACCTGGGTTGCTCTCTGCTTCACCCAACTGTTGCTATTTCCCTCCGCATGCTTGCAGCGTATCGACAATCTCACAGGACCTGCCCTCGGTTTAGCATTCAAGCACAATGCAAAACCTTGTGCCACCTGCATGATGTACGACATTCAATGTAATGGTATTCGCTACGTTAATTACATGTTGCTTTTCATAGATTCCGTATCAACCATATTTCAACACACAATTTTTGGATGCGTTTGACGTTTACCTTGAGATCTTGAACTGTGTTGACTGTATCATCAAAGCAGAGCTAAAACACGACTTACCCAACTGGCGCCTTCTAAACTCGTGTCCATGTTGCTTCTATAAACTTGAGGGTGAAGATAAACTAGCATTCGAGTGGCTCGCTACCATCAACAGAAACAATAGCTTGAAAAGATGGTCGTCATCTACATATGGCACATCTCCACGCGAGGATTCATGGACTTATCGTTCTGACTATTGGCTCAGTCGTGCGAAGGTTGATGAATTCAAAATTGGCACTCAAACACAATCAGTGAGTTCAGCTAGAATCAATTTTACGAGACTAATCATTCAAATTACAAGGGACCTAATGATGACTGGGAGGATGCTGTACAACCGGAGTCGGGATCCTTTCATTGTGTTGATCGCTGGTGCAATGCGGGTCCAGAGCAACGTAAACACATGTTTTCTGTTTTTGACGAGTCCAGAATCTTTATTGCAGCTTGTCGCCACCGGTTCATTCTTTTAGCCTGTGATATGGTGAAGAGTGGGGAACTGTTTGTGTGCTTTTTACATTGTTGTCAGCCTTGCTGACATATTTTTAAGCGCAAAATACCCATTGGCTATTATAGATCATCTGCTCGGTGTTTATGGCAAGAATGGTGGAATCACATACAACATTGGCTGCACATTTTCCAAAACGCTTGGAAACAATAGTTTGGGACCCCGCGCTCATGAACTCAACTTACGGATGATGGTTGGGGCCTTTCATGGCCATGCGCACAACCGGAGGTGCCAGATTGACTGGCACCCGATGTATATTGATGGTACTGGCCACACGGAGGGTGAAGGTTTTGAACATGTCTTTTCATCCTCGAACGAGCTTGCACGTAGTACTCGCCATGCTAATCCATTTCACCGGCATCAGTCAATCAAACAGCACTTCTCATTTTGGGATGAGGACAAGTATGCGGCCCTTAGTGCGTCTTTGACATTCTACTTAGATAATGATTCTAACTTGACATGTAGGCACATTTTTATGCAATCACTACCGAGAAGCCCTGACAGCTATTCATACCCTTACTGCCAAACTTACTGCCATCGAAGGTATTCTCGATCTTACAGATGCGGACTTCATTCGTTTTCACGAGCAAGAACACTTATATCTGGATGGTTTGAAAGAGCCACCAGTCAAGGATCGAATCAGTGTTCAGTATGTTCAATCTCTTGATGAGGTTGCAGAGCGACAGTAAGTTATCTAGTCAGTTTAGTACTAATCTGATAGCTCACGGCATATGACAGAAAGGAATGGAATTTAGCATGAGAAGCTGCTAATCATGCCCTCATGGAAATTCATGTCAGAGGTTTTGAGGAAATGCACGTCGCTCTCAACCAAGCTCGGGTCCATGTTGATGGAGCTTATTCCAAGCTTCAAAATGCGGAAGCTATGGCTTCGCACTTGGAAATCCAACTCGGAATCAATAAACGGTGGGAGATTGGAAGCGAACACTACAACCACTTTCGTCAAGAAGCTTCATTATTAAATTATCGCACAGCACTTGATGAACTCAAATGACTTGTTGTGATGTGTTTATTTGAGCTGTCGAAGCTCTCGCTTTCAGGAACAGGTAAATCAGTCATTTCATATGTGTGCTGATTCTCATTTTTCGAATTAGGCTACAAACTACGTCAACAGATTGGCAAAGCTTTACAATGACGTTCGGAGGCAATATGCAATGCACTGAACTGGTACAATACTCAAGCCACTGCTCTAATCCCTCCGCTACCGCAGCTGACATGGAAGGATATCGTGGAGTATAGCTTTCTGGGTGAGTTTGATCTTTTGCGTCAATCTCGTTCTGACATTCGCACTTCGGATTGGACTAAACCTGCTTATCGTGAAGCTATGGTGAAGTACTTTAAGATCCGATGTGCTCATGAAGAAATACAGAGGTTGAATATTGAAATTCACCGGCTGCACACAGCCATACATGACGAAGAACTCAAGGTGAACGCCACCATTGATACCCTTCTCATATCAAACCGGCCGGTCGGACTTGAACTGCAATGTCAATGGCAAAAATGTGCTGCTGTCAATGTGCTACATCTGCTTAAATTAAATCAGATCACATCTCAGGCAAGCTTTTCTGGGCAACGAGGAGTCGGCATTCGACTCCAAAGCACACTAACATCGTCTGGTGATGGTATGTCTCCTGCTCTTCATTATTTGAATTGATATCTCAGTACTATGCAGAAATAGCTCCTGTCATCTGCACCAACAATAATCAGGAAGATGCGGAGCAGAGGGTGGCTGCTGTGGTGTTGGAGCAGAGCAGTGGGGATATTCTTGAGCATGAGGAGCAAGCTCAAATTGTAGAAGATTTCGCTGATTTTTTGGCTTCTGTTGTGGACTGAATGTTGCCACCACTTCGAACATGTTCTGGTGTGTGCTTATAGTTTATACGCCTTGTGTTTAGGGTACCTCTGAATAATATCATCGTAACTCGAACTATACATGGGTGATGTGGCCGTTCTTTTATCATATTCCCTTCTATATATCATCTGCTACTACTACCTACCAGATGTGCCAGTACCCTTGCCACACTGCCGCAGTGTTAGTGGGTGCTATATCTCAAGACCATGGTTGTACAGTACCTGGGAGGAGATTTTATCATATTCCCTTCTACATATCATCTGCTACTACTACCTACCAGATGTGCCAGTGCCCTTGCCACGCTGCGGCAGTGTTAGTGGGTACTATGATACCTTAAGACCATGGTCGTACAGTATCTGGGAGGAGATCCAAGGTATGAAATCTAGTTCTCGACTGATCCCAAATACTAACACGTGTAAGTTATCTACAAGAGTGGTTCAACAAGGCAATGGGCATTCAGAATGTATACTTACTTGATCTGTTCTACTTATTATCTGTTACTAGTACTGACATCATATTCCCTTCTACATATCATCTGCTACTGCTGACATATTCCCTTCTACCAACACCGTTCAGACTCAATCTTCTGATCTGCGCTTTATAATTGCACTTAGGACCTACTAGCTACTTATGACTCAGGAGCAGGTTCTATACCTAATTGGTTATCATGAAGGTCTCAATAATCCTATTACTGCATGCCGCAAAGCCTCACTGACACTTCAACCAAACCAACCAACTAACTATGGTTCGTTCCATCCGCTCATACTCCCCCATTTCTGCTCAGAAAAACACAACTGGACAACCTCCTGCAGCATCTCAAATGTCAATCACGTCTATCCTTGCAGAGATGCCAGCACAAGTGTACATTCAACCTCGCTTCTCAATGTCCAGCTTAGCGGCACTCCATTCGAGCTCATTTGCTCAAGGTTTCGGCAATGCAGAACAACAATCAGCAGCTCGCGCACTACTCAGACATGATGCTCACATTGATGGGTCTCACTACCATACCCGGAAGCCTAGTGGCCTCCATCCATCAAATGTTGCCTTCAATTCATACACGTCAGCAGATGAACAATCCGTCACACAAGAAGAGTTCATGAATGAAGCACTGCAAGATGTGTTTGATGCAGTGAGTTTTTTTTTGTTTTCATCTTTGTAAATTAACAACATCAATGGCTAGATTACTATGCAAGACCGTCTTGATGGTGGAATTTCCATCCTCATGCATTGCGCTGGCTCTGAGGCCCCAGAAACACTCTCTCCAGAATACTTTACTATTGACCTCTATATCACACCACGTGAATATCGTGAAATGCCAGAGCATCTTGGGGGAGATTTATCGGCATTGGTGCAGGCTTTCAGTGAGGAGTTCGTAGTCCCCCATCTGCAATGCTTTGCAGAATGTTGTCGCATTGAGGGCATTATCCCTCCCCGGCACTGTAAGTCCAATTTTCTCTGGATTCACATTTGCAAACTCACATATTTTCATATATTAAGACCCAGCAGGTCAGGTAAATCCGTCTGGACCAACATTCTTACCTGCACCCTTGGTAGCCACAGGTGCACGGATCCAATGCTCAGCTCATCCTACTAGGCAGTTCAAACACGATTTTGAAGTCGGTAACAAGGTTCTCTTGGCTGCAGTTCAGATTGGTCAAGCCCTGGCAAAAAGCAACAGCAAGCCTGAAATTCGTCAGCGCCATAATGTTGATGCATTTCTCCTCAAGCGTGTTGCCGAACCTAGGATCGCAACTAGCACAGAGGCTCTTAGTACTAATGGGACAAGCGAAGCTGGTGGTATAAATTTGACTGGTACAACAGCATCTTTTGGGGTCCCATTGATCAGTATTGGTCCGCACACTGATGCTGTTCTTGATCGGTTCGGTTTGGATGATCAGGTCCTTCCCAAGCTTCATCAACTTATCGGCTCCATTCGCAGTAGCCGCTGGGAGGCTGTGCTTCGGTCTCCGAAATGGAACTTGACTTATGAGCAGGCCTCGAACCTGAGTAGATCGCTTCATTCTGATCTTTGCGGTGGCATTCAATTTGCGCTTGTGGATGCTAAGGTATTCTACATTTGAACTAAGTTGATTCAAATTGACTGACTGTGCCGTCACTTTTCTTTAGTGGTTATCTTCCTTCCTTTCACAAATGTTTACATTCCTTGGCACCCTGGCATTAGTGTGTGTGCTTTGCTTGTTTTATCTTTTTTCTGGTACTAGACCCCCAATTTTGTTTGTTGAAAACTACTAATTGGTGTGTGCAAACTAGTTACGTTAATATATGCGTGTTACTGCTGCTACTGTGCTGGCCATCCTCATATAAATTGTCCCTTGGTAGTTCACTAACAGTTCAAAAATACAGGTCAATGCCTACCCAGTCTCTCTACGCAATGCAGACTCACACACATGGTCAGGCTGCACCTGCTCGTCGCCCCCGGACCAGGGTAACTCTCAGCAAGGAAGCCCGTGCTGCCCTTGCCACTTGACGTCGTGAAAATTCGCAATGCTTTAGGTCAGCCCTCAGCGATGCTTGGGATGGTCTTGACGAGATGGTGAAGACTATAGCGTCTTCCCACCACAAGAGTTTCCGCTGCGTACAGAATGACTTATGCTTAGGTCGTGGGTTGATGAGGTTCAAGCATTCCAAGTTGAATGTGTGGAACACATTCTGTTGGAAGAAGCGCCAGGAAAATGATGGAAATGGTATGTATTTCTACTACTAGATACATCGCAGACAATGTGCTTACTGTGTCAAGGGGCAACGGGCAAGAATGTGCTACAAGAGCTTGTCAAATAGCACCATGTGGAATATCAAGAGCTCACTGAAGATGAGAAGGCTGAGCTTCTTGTCGAGTACGGCAAGCACAAGGAAATGCAAGCCACGGGCATCCAAATTTCCACCAAGGCAAAGGTTAGTGATGTCACTCTGACCCTCAAGGCTGTCAAGAACGAGGCGAGTCTTCTATCCATCTTATTTTTTATTCGCTGACAGAATTTACAGCTAAACAATTTGAGGAGCTGGACTGGTGTTGAGTCGATGTTCTATGCAACATGCGGGTCTACAAACCTTCCTGTCCATGGTGTCAACTTCACTACTGAAGGTGTGGATGAGTTTATGTCGTCTACAATGAATATCAACAGTCAAGATTTAATCAGTAAGATGGAAGGATTTGCTGTTCAAGGCATGAAAGGTCTGTTTCGTCCTGCTTGATTTCTTTTCACTCATTAGGTGCGGCAAAAAATCATCAAAAGCAGTGTTCTGCAGTTCAGCTCAGCAATCCGCCATGAAATTGGCAAGAGACTTGGTGAGTTTATTTGAGCACATCATTTCATACTACTCTAACTATTATATCGTCCAGTTGAAATCACTAAGGACGAAGACGCGAAGATGCACTGGACCAACTACTTTCGAAATGTCGTCCAATGCTACCAAGTGATCATTGAAGGTTGGCCTACCAACATTCCTTTCACCAACCTCAGCAAAGTGTCAAGCGCCCTTCCTGACCTTGACATGCTTTTGCGAAAGTGGCGGTCTAATGCCATCAAATGGAGACGAGTCGATGACGAGGAGTTTCAACAACTCCTCAAAGAACGCAATGAGAGCCTTGAAAATGGCGAGTTCATTGAACACCGCCGGCAGACTCACTCAGATAAGGGAAAGAAGCGGGCACGGTCTCCAGACACATATGGAGAGTCGAACCTGTCGCAAGAAGACCTACAAGAGTGTTGAGACTGTCGATACAGATGATGAAGATGAAGAGCCCACTGAAGAGACTTCAGCTAACAACATCGACACTGATGACGCCAGCGCCAACATGAACATCAACACTGATGACACCGGTGCCGATACTGACACCAACATCAATGGCAATACTGATGCCAACCTTGGTGCCTTTGACAACATGAATAACGGTGCCTTGAACTTTGATCCTGCTACCTACAACCTTAATTTTCTTCCTCCCAGTCCTGCAGCCGCTAACCGCACTACTCTCGCTGCCAATGAGTTGATGGATCCTGATGTTATGTTGGCAAATTTAGATCGTATGTTTGGGCCGCCACCAGCGCCTCACCAGTTGTAGTTGATAGATGCATGGTTTATCACTCTCGCTCTGAATACATTGACACATTTTTCATGATATTAAGCCCCATACAGTCAGCTACATCATTGTGCCTATATGATAGTAAAAATTCACAGGTACACAAAGACAAGTCCTCGAACTCCATCAAAGGTACTGGTTCCAGGTCAGTTTCCTGCCCTGCATTTGAAGTAACCATGGTAGTAGGGACTAGAAAGAGACGAGGTTGGTGGTACATTCTTGAGGTATGAAGGTGGCGTCCTCGAGACGAGGCTGGTGGCTGCGTCCTAGAGAGACAAGGATGGTGGTGGCGTCCTCAAGAGACGGGGCTGGTGGTAGCGTCCTTGAGAGACGAGGATGGTGGTGGTGTCCTCAAGAGACGAGGCTGGTGGTAGCATCCTCAAGAGACGAGGCTGGTGGTAGCGTCCTTGAGAGATGAGGAGGTTGGTGGTGACATCCTCAAGAGATGAGGCTGGTGTCCAGAACAGTAGAGTGTGGCTAAGCAGACGGTGCCACGTAGTGGTGGTAGCTAAAAGTGTAGAAGGCATCGTCGATGCCTATGGCGGGGTGGTAGACGGCGGTGGTGGTGGTGGTGGAGAAGGGCAAGGGGCGTGGGAGCAGTACCTTGCCGATTTCGGAAGGTTAGGCGCATAGCGGGGTGCGTCGGGATGACACATTTGGATAGTATAGGCGGGCGGACAGTGCCGAGCTGCTTACTGGCAGTGTACACCAAATAGCAGGAGTCCTGGAGTATTTGGGACAGTATATAACGCTGGTGTTGAGTATTAGTACAACAAAGCCTAACAATAGTAGGTACAACACATAATAAACCACCATAGTAAGGCTTACTTATTGGGAAACCCAGGTGGCTGTACTGCCATGGTCACACCCACCGTCACAGAGGCCCAAGCGGCCAAAACCTTGCAGCACCACTTGGGTGTTGACTAATGAAGACTTATGTCTTCAATGGCAAGATCAAGTAACTGAAGATGAGTGTTTGAGTGCTGAACGCAAGCGCGCTGTCGAGGAAGAGGCTGAATGTGAGCGTCTGACTCTTTAACTTGAGGAAAACACTGTGCGAGCGGATGAAAAGAAGAAGAATCGTTCAAAGCATTCTGTGATTATGATGTGCCCTCGGCCTTTTGCCAATGATGAAGAGGCATTAGTGTTTGAGTTTGCGTTGCAAAAGATAGATAGCGGGAAGTACGTCAAACTCTACTACTGGACTAATGATGGCCTGGACGACGCTCTAGTCAACTACCGCACTCGGGATGATGACAGTATGGTCCCCTCCATTGGGGAAGATGGTTCCATGGTGTGGGTCAGTGCAGCAACCTCGAAGCCAGCTGCAGGGGTTATTGCAGATAGAGACCTCACTCCGGTAGACTTTGCTCAAGCCATTCCCCGCATCATGGCAGCTATTGAAGAATGTGATTGGACCAAACAGTGTGTCCAGATGCTTGCTCAATTCTGGGGCGCCATCATGCTTCATCGTTATTGGAACTCCAAGTACCAGTTAGCTAGTTGGGCGATACTGCTTTATCAAGAAGAACAGCGCTATTCTGTCATCCAGTGGTTCCTGGGACCTTTTATCATAGATGAACCCACCCTCTTGCGAACCTTCGAACGAGTTTATCGCGCTTCTCTCATACGCACAACAAATGTCGCACCGGATGTTCAGGTATGTGCTCAGACCTCTTCAGTCAGGAAACTGCTAATTTGAATGTTATTCCTCTTTACCATGTACATCTTGGTCTCATTAATCTGGGTGTTGCGTTTCGGCAAATCTTGTTGGCCTTACCTCTATTGTGGTCAACCACCATCGATTCCTGCGTTTTTGCGTTGTGCGTTGTGCGTTCGCATTATTCAGCCCCAGAGCAGTAGCTCCCACTCGCGAGGTGGACACAGTTCTAATTATTGCTCGAGGCGGTCAAGGTGTTCGGCTTCTCCACCCGCTCGGAGGCACTCTGCCTCTCCGGGGGCAGGAAGGAAGGTCAGCGGTACGCATAATTCCAAACCGGCTGTGCACTGGCAGGGTTTTCAAGAGAGCGCACACAGCAATTGCTCCTCAGCAGTGTGTGCCATATGCCTGGGGAGTCACAGCCACAACTTTATTGATTGCATGGCCGAACGACTCTGGGACAACAAGTTCCAGATCGTTACCACTCACACCAACAGATCACTCACCTTGCGAGGCTCCAACAAACCCTTGTGTGTCGATTGGCAGTGTGCCTAAGACTGTGGCAGTTGCTCACACGATGAGCGACACATCTGTTCTGGGTGTCTCGCCTCGTCTCATGGAGCCCAGAGCTGCTCTTGAGCTCAGACAACTATGACCAATGTCCCCGTATAATGTGGTGGTTTGGGAGGATCGATTACGTCTACATAATTTGCTTTTCGACTATCCTCATCTCTTGCTCGGACTTCAATTAGCCCATCACTTGTCATCTTCAAGGACGTGTTCCAAAAAATCCTCTCTCGCGAGCTCACTACCGGTTGCTACATTGGTCGCAGTATGTGGACATTTTAAATGACCACTTGCTGCCTAGCTTGGCAGAATCAGGGATTGATGAAGAAGATATCATTTTCCAACAGGATAATGATCCCAAGCACACATCCAGAAGAGCTAGGGAATGGTTTGAAGAACATAACATCAATGTTCTTGACTGGCCAGCACAGTCTCCTGATGTCAATGTCATTGAACATCTCTGGGGAACACTCAAGAAAAAGCTTCAAGCCTATGAAACCCCCCTAAAGGAGTATGGGAGCTTTGGGAGAGAGTAGCAGTGGAATGGGGGAAGATCACAGCTGAGGATTGCCAGAAATTAATTAGAGAGTATGCCTAGAAGGATAGAGGCAGTAGTAATTAAAGCCAGGGAGGTCATACAAAATACTAGAATACCTGGTTATTACTGTAAAATACTTGAGTCAAAAAACTGTCCGCATGAGTCACCATTTTGTGAGCCTTGTATCTCCACCATATCTCCACCGATTCCCACGGTGTAGGGCTCAAATGAAAGCCCTGAAGCCATACTACAATGTGGTATAAGCATGTTTTGAGGCATTTGTTTGTTCTCACACAATATTATAGATAGTGAAAAATGCCAAAACATACGGACGGTTTTTTGAGCCACTGTACATGCGTCATTGGCTGCGGGTGGAAAAAGGCAGACAGTGGACATTTATGGCATAAAAGGCAGGACCTTTGATGATGAAACGTTCAAAGTCTATGCCGAGGATTGTCGGTTTAGACTGCGTGACCTTTCTCAGACCTTCCCACGAGCTTCCATTGATGCAAAGTTCACTTATGCATTTGCAGACATCGATTGAGCTTCCCAACCATTGGGCATCCCATGGGAACCAACCAAAGATACAGCCTTCGACTATGAGGCATTGTTCCTTGGTTTCCTGTGGGAGCTTCCTGATCTGTCTGTCAGACTCTCGATTGCAAAGAAAACAAAATACTTGGCTGCTATCGAGGAATGGTGCTCTCGCCCGATGCATGTCCTTCTGGATGTCCAAAAGTTATATGGTAAACTTCTGCACTCCTGCCTGGTCATCCAGAGGGGATGCGCTTACCTCACCTCATTGGAGGCCATGCTTGACGTCTGCAACAGTTGTCCTGTCATGCCACACCACCCAGTGCGACACCTTCGAGATGACCTTGACTGGTGGTGTGTCACACTTGCCCAATCTTTTGTCGGCAAGTCCATATGTCAACCCCACACCCTTGTCGACCTTCGCGCCTTCTGCGATGCAAGTTCAACCGTTGGCATCACAATTGTTATCAATGGGTATTGGCATGCATGGACCCTCTGGCCAGGTTGGAAGACACTTGATAGCCAACGGGACATCGGCTGGGCTGAATGCGTCGGTTTTGAGCTACTCACACTCGCCATCCTCGATGCACATCGCGGCTGGCCATTCAATCACTTCCGCGTCTTCTGCAACAACCAAGGCATGGTCAATGGTTGGCGCAACAGGAGGAGCCGGAACTGGGCAACCAACCTTGTTTTCTGCAGGATCCTCCAGCACCTCGAATCCATCTCAGAGGACAGCCTCATTCCACCTCTGCTATGTCCCTAGTGCCAACAACCCCACAGACAGTCCTTCCTTGGGAGTATTTCCCCCCACTAGGCTTCTTCTCCCCCCCATTACCCTCCCAAGTGATCTCTCCAAGTTCCTCGTCGACACTGATATCTCCGCAAAGGGACCATACACCAGGGTTAGCGCGCCCAACAATGATTGGGAGGGAGGTGATGATTGGCTGGTTGACGAGATGACCAATGCAGAGTGGGGACAACAGCTCCTCCAGTTCCAGGATGCCTGGCAAGACTAATGTCTCTCGTTTCCGCGATGCTCCTCCCCTAATAACCACACCCCTGGCAGTCTAGCCTTGTCCATATCGCGCAGGTCTGACACCGCGAGCCTCACCACTGCGCCCACATTGTTTGGCTAGAGAGCATCTCCTGCTCTGGGTGCCAATAATAGCTCATTCTCATTTTGATCACACAGGAACATGTATTGCGATAACAGATGACGATCTGGACCGCATACTAGTGGTAATAGCTCACTCACACACTCCCAGCACACGGGAGACTTATGGTTCAGGTCTCCTTGTCTACCATGTGTTCTGCGACGAATGCAACATCCCTGAACACCAATGCTGCCCCGCATCATCACTCCTAACCCTCGCATTCATCGCATCCTGCGCCGGTGAGGCGATCTCAACCTGGCTGGGCTGATATGAAATATCTAAAAATGCTCAACCAGTATAAGTGAGTCTTGGCTCTGCCTAGCTGCTATACTCGCAGAATGCAAGAACGTTCAACCCTAAAGGGGACTGCTACTGAACACAGAACCAGATGAAAGAAAGACCCTTGAAGTGTGATGGATGCGCGAAAGCTGCAAGAAGAAAAGTGAAGTGAGCGCGAAGCGCGAGAGAGCGCACTGAGGTAAGCGCGAGCGTGGGAACATGAGCGCTGAGGCGCGTGTTGAGTGGGAGAATACAGGATAAGGAAACGGATAAGGAAGCGGATGTGCAAAGCGAGTGCAAACGCAGAGCGAGTGTTATAACGAGCGCGGATAAAGGTCTAGTATAGGCAGATAACGATAACCATTGGAAACACAAAGTGCGCCCAAGTGGTGACTACTACTTTAAAGTAAAACCCAATAGCGAGGGAAGTACAGCAAAGGGGAGTAATAATGATGGTGTAGTAAGTCAGCAACTTTATACTATGGAAATCGCATCGGAAGCGGAAGGGATAGGAGCAATAAGCGCTATGAATACATAATGACATGTAATAACGCTGCAATGCTTGTTACAAACCACGAGGCAAGGGATATGACGTACCAATGAGGTGGGTGGACATAGACGGACATCCCTGGATGATAGGCGATGAAGGGCGATGCAGGGCGCTTAAGCGCGAGAAAGCGCGCAAGGTGCGCGTGTGGGAATGTTGCGCATTGTGCGGGAAAGTGCCGCGCCTATGGCGCGTTTCATGGGAAAGCTGCGTGTTATGTGTAAACTGACTAGGGACATGATAGAAGTCGAATATAGCTGATGGTGCGAGTTGTGCATTGAAGGCCAATTGTCATGAGTTGTGAAAAGGTGCGAAATGTGCCTATATGTGCCTGCAGAAACGTGAGTCTCTACATCTCCTGGTGAGGGCGAGGAATGATAGCTGCGTGCTAGGGGGAAGAGTGGGAAGTGGGCTCTCAAGTGCTCCTCTGGATACGAGTAGAAAGTCGTCCCAAGGGGATTGCTACTGAGAAAGATTCCTCTAGTGAAAGGTGAGGGGGATCTATAACCAGCGGTTTGGTCTCGAAGTCTGAATGGGACTCTGAGGCAAATAATGCACCCAAAAGCGAAGTGCGCTAGTTAAAGGCGCCTAAACGCGCTAATAAGGCAGAAAGTGCGGAAAAGCACGCTTCAATGTCAAAGCGCACTTCGTGCGATCACAATGGAGTGCTTCGAGTAGAGATGACAATCAAATGGGGAATCAGGACTTTGATAGATGTAGAAATAGACACTTAAAGGTGTCAAAAGCGCCAATAGGAAGGAAAACCGGTGTATTCAGATAGAAACTCGAGCTATACACTTCGATGGTAGTGGAGCAGAACTAAGTGACAGGAAAACAAACATGGTGACGTGTAGGTATGCTAAGCGAGTTCCCACGGCTCGGAGCCGAATAGGAAGTACTAAGGTAAATGGTGAGGTAAGTCAGGGTCCATAACGAGATATGATGATAAGTACTAGTGCCTGTGTGACGGAGTATGAGTTCTGAAGAAGGGAAAACGCACCAATGGACCTTGGAGGACTAGGACGGGACATGCGGAGGACAGGCGACGGATACTAAGGAAATGCGATGAAGTGCACCGTAACGCGCTCGAATGCACTTGAACGCGCTGGTACGCGCCAAAGTGCGCGTTGCGCAGAAGTCGTATTAGAAGCGCGTTGTAAGGATATCAAGTGCGTCGTGAAAAGCCGTGAATTTGGCCCATATGAGCCTGGAGAAATGTGAATCTCTACACCGGGGACTTTGAATACTGAGTGTCCCCACTCAGAGTGCATCTGGTGAGGATCTCAAGCGAAGTCGGTGATGAGGGTATATGATGATTGTCGAGTGCGATGGGTGCGGATGATAGTGCGACTAAGTGCGATGAGGCGCAGCTAATGCGCGATGTGCGCAGGCGTGGGAACGTGTTGTGGAAGCGCGAGAATGCGCTAAAGGCGAAGCGTGAACATGGGACTGCATGAAAGGCGAAAATGCAACAGCACAAAACACGAAATGCGACAAGGCGACTGCTGGAAATGCGACAATGTGAAACGCGACAATGCAAAAGGCGACAATGTGACAATGTGACAATGTGAAAGGCGACAAGGCAACTGCTCAAAATGCGACAATGTGGAAGGCGATAATGTGACAATGTGAAACGCGAATGGTCAAATGTGCGAGGTGCGAAACTGCGATAGAGTGCGTCGGAGTGATTGCGCTATGGAGTCTACATCCAATATACGTCCGGGGGTGAAACGTGATGCTGTGGGGCCTGAGGAGCGATCCAATCTATGTCCAAACCAATCCCCACTGGGTGTCCTAGATACGATGCGAAGAAAAGGAATTATGCATAAGAAAAACTGCAAGGAAAACATGGGAAAACGTGCTGCAATCTATGCGGACTTCCATCCGACTTGGTTTCTTCGATCTTCTTTCGATATCTATGCCT